CCCCCCCCCAAGTGTGGTTGCTTAAAGCCCACTTTGATCAGTTAGTGAATTGAAAAAACATGTGAAATGATTTTACAATACACCACCCTAGTAAATCACAATGCAAAATTACATCTTTCAAGTATTTTTAAACAAATTGCATAAAAATGCCTGTTTAACACACCCTTTCTAGCTTGTTTATATTCCATATCATGCAAGATTTCTGAACAAAGAACATACAATAAAAACTCAAAATAAAATAATTAGCATTGTCATTTGACCCTCAAAACATGCCATGCTTACAGTACCCTACATGTTGCAGGCTGCAACCTCAATCCATATAAACACATTTATCTTTTAATGATTTTAAGTTACAATGTTTATAAAAGGTGCAAACATAATATTCCATTGCCTTTCAGCATGCTGGCAACATGCTTTGTGCAACCCTTGGATGTGGTGAAGAACAGATTGCAATTAAGTGGTGCGTAAGTTTCCCAGAACATTGTACATAGAAAAACAAAGTACTGCTTGTTTGATTAAATTAGCTATATAATGCATTTCACCAAAAATGCACTGGCATCGGTCTGTCACAGTCAGTGTGTGTGTGTGTGTGTGTGTGTGTGTGTGTCTTTTTGTATCAGTGTATCTGTGCTCCTGTTTTTACGAAGAGGCATAAGTAATTGACTACCCGAATTTTTCTGTATGTTTGTCAGCTTTGGTGTCTAGTCAAGCCAAGTACGGATATCACATTATATTCTAGGAGAAGGAGGGGCGCCTAGGCTCTACAACAGTTCCTTTGACGCCATCAGGGCCATCTATGTGAAGGAAGGATTTAATGGCTTGTTTGCTGGGTAAGTACACTTTCTCTCTTGAGACAGGCTGTTAGACAGACAGACAGGGTAAGCTATGCTGAGATGCTGAGAGATAGTTGAACAGACAAATGGGTAGACATGCAGACAGATACAGACATACGAAATGATAACATTATTGACAGATAGACAATCAGACAGACTGACAAGGTGACAGATAGACAAGTTGACAGACTGCCAAGGTGACAGATAGACAATCAGACAGACTGACAAGGTGACAGATAGACAGACACATACACACTCACACATTTGGGCATAGATGCTGAGAGGTAATTGAACATGCAGAAGGATAGACATGCAGACACACACAGACATACGAAATGATAGCATTATTGACAGATATATACTGTCAGACATTGATATGACATCAAAGATAATATTAATACAATTTTGATTTATTAGTTCTCTCTCTTTTGATCTGCAGTCTTTCAGCAGGGTTGCTAAGGCAGGCAACATACACTACTACCAGGCTTGGGATCTATACTACTCTCTTGGATAGGGTCAGGGCTAGGTAAGGTCAATTTGCATTCAGTTAAAATAATGAAACTGAGAGTGTATTCAGAACAGCGGACTAACAGATACCCTGGTCAAATGTTGTGACCCACTATTGACATTGCATTCATGCGGACTGACCATATTTGATCCTCAGATTTGTTAGTCTGCTGTTCTGAATGTGCTGTAAGATACGTTGATAAAAAACATTATTGGAACTTCCAGTTGTGAGAATGCATTTTCATGACTTTTTTTTTTGTTATTACTGTTAACAGCCCGAGTCCTTGTAAAAAGTTGGCAACATTGTCTAAGGGCCTGTTCAGAACCAAGCTGATTTGTGGACTAACTGATCTGCGGATCAAATATGGACGACCCACTTAAAAGAGTAACGCTTAATCCAGTAATGCATTCCCCACAGAGATTACAGGCATACTTTCAAGTAAGTCTGCCATATTTGATCTGCAGATCATTGAGTCCATGGATTCAACTTGGTTTTAAACAGGGCCTAAATCATAGCATTGCAAATCAGTGAATTTTAGACAGGGACATTTGTGGATGAAAGTGTTTTCTTGTCTTTCACAGGAACCAGGGGGAAAATCCTAATTTTGCTTCTTTGTTGGCTATTGGTCTTGTTGCTGGTGGTTGTGGGGCAGTCGTTGGAACCCCCGCTGAGATTTCCCTCATACGAATGTGTGCTGATGGCAGGTAAGTTTGTGTGAGTTTGTGCACACGTGATCGAATGCATGTGTGCATGTTGCACCAGGGCCTTACAAAAACTTGATGCTCAAAACCATTTCACTCCCAAGGGGATTAATTTTTTTGTTATGAAATTTTTCCCACTAGTATCAGCACTAGTGGGCTAGACATGGTCTTAAAGTGCAATTTAAGTTCACAAGTGATCTTACACGATCTTAATCATTACAACAGAAGTCTTAAAATGGACTGAATCTGCTTTTAAGATCAAAAATGATCTAACATTTATTTAAGTGGTCAAGCAGTTTCCTCCCGTCACAAGGGGACACCTCCCCTCACAATAGAGGACACCTCTGCTCACAATAGGAGAATGTGTAAGGGGAGGTCTGGTCTTACACATGTTTTAAGATCATGTTTTAAGATCATTTGTGTTTTTTAATTGCACTTTAAGACCAAATGAAGCCCACTAGTGCAGCAGATTTCCAACTTTATGGGAGCCAAAAGTATTATTTTTGAGCCAGATACAGAGGGCCTCATGCGATTTTTTTCAGAATTTTTCACTAACTAGCAGTCTCATCCCTGGTATTTAGAAACACTAAATATGTGCACTCGCACACGTGAAAGTACACACACATACATACACACGCATACATACACTAAGATGTGTGCAGGTGAATTTAATTTCTTTTAAAAATTTAACTTTTCATGAGAATAACTTACCAGGTCTTTTGTTGCTTTCAATTCTACATTGTTATGTAAAGAAGAATATGATTGCAGCGGAAGGAGTGAGGGAGGGGCAAAAAAAGAGACAGAGAGTGAGAGCAGACATGCTGAGAACTTTTCAGAATGGTCCGACATTTGGACTGGCAGTAATGACTGGCTTACTAGTACTTTATTTGTGAATGTGACAGGTTTGAAATGGAAGTGAAAAAACACTTTGGGTCTTATATAATTTTATTAGTGAAGTATGTCGAATGATGACTGTAAATTCAAAATTGCAGCTCTTAAAACTCTTGTCGGTCCTTTGGACCGACTGAGTCCAATTTTTTTACCAGTCCAGACAAATTTTGCCATTCATGCTGATCAGACCGACAGTTTCAGCATGTCTGTTAGAGGAAACCCAAATAAGCCTGCAATACACATGTTGCAATATTCCAGGTTACCCAAAGAACAACAGAGAGGGTACACCAATGTGTTTAATGCTTTGTCAAGAATAACGAAAGAAGAGGGAATTGCCACATTGTGGAGGGTATGGCTACTTTATGTGATATTTCAGTTATTCTGAAAAATTCCATAATATGAAATGAAGTAAGCAATGAAACACCACATCAGGAATTAAGCCATGAGAAGCTTAGAGAAGTACATGTTAATGAATGCAATATTTATTTATTATGTGGTAGAGAACAAGTGTGGTTTTTTGCTAGATTCATGTTTACAAAATGACACCTATTTTAAACCATCTGTCTTGAACTTAGTATTTTGGCCTCTACTCTCTGGCTTTACCGCTGCACACACCCCTATCTCTCACCTTGACTGTGTTATTGACCTTGACCCTGTGTTGAACTATGACCTTGACCTGGTTCCAGGGTTGCCTCCCCACAGTTGGCCGTGCTATGGTGGTGAATGCTGCACAACTGGGCACCTACTCCCGGGCAAAACAGATGCTTCTCAAAACAGGTGAATGTTAGGGTGCCTCCCATAGATTTAGATCGATCTAAAGATTAAGTTATAGGGTCTATTCCCACAACTTTAGATCGATCTATCACTGCGGGGAGTCTCACTAGATTACTGTCAGATAATCCGCCTTAAGTGTCCGTCCCCGCCTACTACAAGCTGTAAGGGGTAATTAACTTTTGTGTCCGCCCGGCTGACAGCTATTTAGCGTGAACCCCCAGGGAGTAAGGTCGATCTAATCTATGGAAATGGGCTGTTAGATCGACCTAACTCCCTGGGGGTTCACACTTAATTGCAGTCAGCCGAGCGGGCACCATAGTTGATTACCCCCTTTTAGGTGGGACAGACGCTTAAGCCAGCCAAGCTGACAGTAATCTAGTGGGACTCCCCACAGGGATAGATGGAACTAAAAATCTATGGAAATGGGGCGTAACACACATGTTCAAATGCTTGCACACACACACACGAACACACACTCAAGTACAAACCAACAAATGCGCTCACAGATGTGCACACTAACACACTCTCATACATGCACACACACACACATACTTTTACACGTATACATGCTTCCATACACACATTTATCTAATTGCGTTATGACTGATTTATCATTTTACTTCCTTTGGTAAATTATTTGAATCAAGGAAGCAATGAATTTTTTTATTTTTTTGATTGATAAAGAGAAAATATGTCAAGTGAAAATTATTTAATTATATATACATTTGCTGTGTTTATGGAATATTTCAGGTTATTTCCGTGATAATCTTTTCTGTCACTTTAATGCCAGTATGATCAGTGGTCTGGTAACAACCATTGCCTCCATGCCAGTGGATATTGTGAAAACCAGGTATGGCTTCCTTCCTGACTGTATGAAAATATTGTAAAGCCTGTTGAACTGTTATTTTCTAAACCAGGAATGTCATTGTTCTTGTCATATATGTAATAAAAACTATTTGAATAGTTGCTAAAATTGGGTTTTAACCATTTGTAGAGCTTGTTTCTTGGGAAGAAATGTGAAGCTGTTTAATCCTTACTTTTTTAAAAAATCAGGTTAAAACCAGATATGGTTTGTTTCTAGTAAAGTAATATTAATACATATGAACGCTAATTGTCAAAACTAGGCATGATTTGTTTCATGTATAAAAGAAGGCTGATTGGACTGAAGTTGGGATGAAATGTAGGTTTTTTTGCAGTTTCCTGGGGTGCCTACTGAAGCTGCTAAACAATAATTAATTACCTACTAGCAGCTTCAGTAGGTGTGACAGACATCTAAGCCACTTAAGTTGATTGCAATTTAGCGAGAATCTCCTCAGAGATAGATCAATCCACAGTTAGTACGATAGGGTCTAGGAATGGTCCCTATGAAGCAGAGTGATGTTCGTTACATGTGAATAAGCAGGTAGTCAGGAAGATGTGAAAATGAACTTGTCATTTTATAGCCCACTTTCTGTCTTGTTTTAGGTTACAAAATATGAAAGTCGTAAGTGGAGTGCCGGAATACTCTGGTGCCATAGTAAGTATTGATATATGATGTTCAAGTAAAAAAAATAATTGTTAGAAGATAGTTGAGATAAAAGATTTGCTGTAACTTTCTCCTGATACTTTTAGTTTGTTCTGTCTAGTTTGTTCTGTTTTCACTCCTACTATTCATCAATCTCAGTGCGTGAAAATCTGTTTTTCAATGAACTAATTTTTTTTACTCCTATTATTTTTTATCAATGAAAATATCTTTTAAGATCTTAAGATATTTTACGTTTAAAAACATTGCTCTCGACTCATTTTAATCCCTTATTTGTTTTATTTTTTAAATTCAGAACTGCTTCACACGCGTAATCAAGGTAGAAGGCGTGTTCAGTCTATGGAAGGGTTTCATGCCGTACTATTTCCGCCTTGGTCCTCATACGGTGCTCACCTTCATATTCTTGGAATTTTTTATCAAGACCTACAAGAAGACTAAGGGCATTGAAGGCTCATCAGGTGGTCTCTGAAGAGGGTTTCTCTTAAGATCCAGGAAGGGAGTCCCAGAATTACAAAACAGGTTTATGTCGGATTCAGTGCAGAGCAGAGAATTACAACATTACAACTATCACACAGGATGCTGTTAATATAAACTGTTAGTCCTTAAATATTTTTGGTCTTATTCAGTTCAGGATAAGGCTGCAGTTGTCTACTAAAACAGAGTGGAGAATATTTTATTTAGAACAGAAACTATTTCTTTCTTGTTATCACAAGGATGCAATGTTTGTTTGAATTGGACTGCCAGTGGTAGATCTTTGCTTTGAGTAAGACAATTTTTCCTTCTTTCTTTTTTTTTTTTTTCTTTTCTTTTTCTTGAAACAGGACCATGGTCACATTTTCTTTCTTTAAAAAGTTACAATATTGCATAGACTCTAACTTCTACCCATTTCATATAGATGGTTACAATGAGGGTGGCATTTGCAGGTCCCGATCCAGATGTGCTCGCTATACCAAGCCATCTGTAACAGGCAAAAGGGACCGTAAGCCCCCTTTACACTGGAAGGTGTTCTTTCTGCATCCCGTAGTACGACACCGTTGGAGAGTGAAAAAAATAATAATCATTTAAGGGATAACAACTGTTCATTTTGGCCAAAAAATGGATTTTCCTGGGGTAAAGGACAGTTTACTTTATTATGGTTAATGAATCCATTCCCACATTTTTTTTCTAATAATTTTGGTGTTTTATAATTTCTCTTAAGAGATTATTACAGAGTGTAGCCATCTATGGAGGTCACATGATGTGGTGGCAAACAAATTCCAGAATAATTGTGTTAACCATTTTTGGTGGTAAACTAGAATTAATTATATTTCTATGAGCTGTTTACAATGCATTTATTATGAAAAATAGATAACTTACAAACAGTTGTTATCCCTTTAACATGCTGACAACTGGCCGATCATTGAACATTCATTCTGCAACCAAAGTGATGCTTACCTCCAGTTTCATGGTCACGCAAGGAAGGACATCGTCCAGTGTCTTGTGCAGTTTTGAAATCCTGTGTGTCTTGCTTAGAAATGTCTTTAGTTGTGCAAGTTTTTTTTTTCTTTTAGGACTATAACTAAGCTTGGTGTAAAGTATTAATGACACAATTTGCTTCATATAAATGCTTCGACTTTAAATGCCACAAACCTATTTTTGGGACCTGTACTTCGGTTTAGTCAAATATATATTATATAATTTTACATGTATTACTAAATAAATATTGTTTAAATGCAAAGTACTTTATAATTTTTTCCCCTCATTGGAGGCACATTTTTTCTTAATTACTTTGTCAGATAGCTGTGAGCTTTATACTACTATACATATTTTTGCCATATTGTCAACAGATCTGAAGAAAAAAAAATTATTTTGATAATATCCACCAGTTTTATTCAGAACTGCCTTTTTGTGTAAGGTTTCACAAGTGCATAGGATCCTAAGGGGGGGGGGGGGGGCACATGCAAAAATTGTCCATATTGATCATGTTTTGTCTTTTTGATACCTCTGCAATGACCCCACTCATTGGTGGGTAAAAAAATTGCTTTTTTTCTTTTAAAAAATTACCTTCAGCATACCAGTTTAGATACAAGGATACCATTAAATACAGTGCTTTAGAAGTAACTTGATGTACAAAAATGGATTCCTTTTCATTACTGAACATATAACTGAAAGAGTAGGACATAATATTGGTGGTGCAAAGACGCTGAATTTGTTTTCTCTGCAACTTACTGTTGATAGAAACAATTTGCCACAAGAAAAGAAAGTGAAATAATTGTGAATTTCAGAATTTGTTAATATTCAGTATAACAGTTATTCAGCTAAAGTCTATAATGTAACTGTAGAGGCTTGGATGTATGTGTGGCACAGTTTTTTTTTCTTGGTATGTTTCTCCTCACTGTTAAAGAATAAAAAAAAGAACATTAATACAAAGTATTTGGAATTTTTTACTTCAATCTCCTTGAAAACTGAGCACCTAAACTCAAACGCACTCCTCAGGTAGAAGGTACAATAAAATTATTATAGGCCAAAAATGGTTAAAGCAGTGACCTTTACCTTGCTCCATACAGCTTATCACGAACGTGTCATGTGACACAAATATTGATATTTATGAGAGATACATATAATATGTATAATTAAATAAAAATGAAAAAACAAACATTGGAAAATAACCAAAAGGAAAATAGAAATGTTTGTGTCACATTACACGTTCGTGAAGTGGAGAAGGTAAAGGTCACCAAGCGGCAAGATGGCGGATAAAGGGATCCCCAAGCGTATTAAGTTCCTCTTTGGGGGAAGCGCGGGGTAAGAATTTGTTGTCATTTAGTGAAGGGACAGCTCCAGGTTTTGTGCTATTCGTCATTTCAATTTTGTTTTCATCGCAAAACGAAGCGAATGAAAGATTTTGCATGGCGATCTTCCGAATGAACGGAAACGCATTGGTATTGCATTGATAGAGGTCAACGTAGCACGTAGCACGAAAATTCATGCGAATAAGCACTCCTATTGACGATTCTGATATGTACTGGCTATGCTTACACATATGTGGTAACACCTTGATAAGTTAATGAATTGAAATAGCATGTAAAATGATTTTACAGTACACCACGCTAGTAAATCACAATGCAAAATTACATCTTTCAAGTATAACAATTTGCATAAAACTGCCTGTTTTTATACACCCTATCTATCTTGTTTTTATTCACAATGCCAGCTATCAGAACAAAGAACATACAATAAAAACTTATAATAATATAATTAACATTGTCATTTGACCCTCAAAATATGCCATGCCTACAGTACCCTACATGTTGCAGGCTACAACCTCAATCCATATAAACACATGTAGCTTTTGAAGATTTTAAGTTACAGTGATGCAAACATAATGTTCCATTTTCTTTCAGCATGCTGGCAACATGCTTTGTGCAACCCTTGGATGTGGTGAAGAACAGATTGCAATTAAGTGGTACATAAGTTTCCCAGTACATTGTACATAGAAAAACGAAGTACTGCATGTTTTATTAAATTAGCTATGTAATTATTCATTTCACCAAAAATGCACTGGCATTGGTGTAAGTCACAGTCACTGTGTATGTGCGTGCGCATTCGTGCGTGTGTCTTTCTGTATTGGTGTATCTGTGCTCCTTTTTTTGCGAAGAGGCTTAAGTAATTGACCACCCTGATTTTCCTGTATGTTTGCCAGCTTTGGTATCTAGTCAAACCAAGTATATCACATTATATTCTAGGAGAAGGAGGGGCGCCTAGGCTCTACAACAGTTCCTTTGATGCCATCAGGGCCATCCATGTTAAGGAAGGACTTAATGGCTTGTTTGCTGGGTAAGTACACTTTCTCTCTTGAGACAGGCTTTTAGACAGCCAGACAGACAGGGTAACAAGCCAACAGTTAGTCAGACTGACAAGATGGCAGATAGACAATCAGACAGACTGACAAGGTGACAGATAGACAGAAAGACTGACATGGTGACAGATAGACAATCAGTCAGGCTGACAAGGTGACAGATAGACTATCAGACAGACTGACAAGGTGACAGATAGACATTCCAAAAGACTGACAAGGTGACAGATAGACAATCAGTCAGGCTGACAAGGTGACAGATAGACTATCAGACAGACTGATAAGGTGACATATAGACATTCCAAAAGACTGGCAAGGTGACAGATAGACAATCAGGCAGACTGACAAGGTGACAGACAGACAGGCACACACACACACACACACACACACACGCACACACACACACACACACACACACACACACACACACACACACACACACACACACACACACACTAGTATTTGGGCATAGATACTTAGAGATAATTGAACATGCAGATGGATAGGCACACAAACACACATAGACATACGAAATGATAGCATTACTGACATATACATACCGTCAAACATTGATATGACATCACAGATAATATTAATACAGTTTTGACTTATTAGTTCTCTGTCTCTCTCTCTTTCTCTGCAGTCTTTCAGCAGGGTTGCTAAGGCAGGCAACATACACTACTACCAGACTTGGGATCTATACAAGTCTTTTGGAGAGGGTCAGGGCTAGGTATGTTCAATTTGCATTCTGTTAAAATAATGATACTGAGAGTGTATTCAGAACAGCGGACTAACAGATACCCTGGTCAAATGTGGTGACCTACTATTGACTAAAGAGCTTGTCGCTTAATTTCCGATGAGACACTGAATGGATTTCCTGCAGGGATTACGCAACAGGCATTCAAGTGGACTGACCATTTTTAATCCACAGATTTGTTAGTCTGCTGTTCTGAATGTGCTGTAAGATACGTTGATAAAAACATTATTGGACACTTCCAGTTGTGAGAACACATTGCTAAAATTTTCATGACTTTCACTGTTTTTTTTTTTTTTTTTTTTTTGTTCTTTAATACTGTTAACAGCCTGAGTTCTTCTAAAAAGTTGGCAACATTGTCTAAGTCACTGTTCAGAACCAAGCTGATTTGCGGACTAACAGATCTGCGGATCAAATATGGACGACCCACTTGAAAGCGTACAGCTTAATCTAGTTATGCGAATACACGGCATGCTTTCAAGTAGGTCTGCCATATTTGATCCGCAGATCAGTTGGTCCATGGATTCAACTTGGTGTTAAACAGTACCTAAATCATAGCATTGCAAGTCAGTGAATATTAGACATGGACATTTGTGGATAAAATGTCAAAGTGTTTTCTTGTCTTTCACAGGAACCAGGGGGAGAATCCTAATTTTGCTTCTTTGTTGGCTATTGGTCTTGTTGCTGGTGGTTGTGGGGCAGTTGTTGGTACCCCCGCTGAGATTTCCCTCATACGAATGTGTGCTGATGGCAGGTAAGTTTGTGTGTGTGCATTTTGCACGTTGCACCAGGGCCTCACAAAAACCTTGCTGCTCCAAGAGGATTAATTTTTTCGTTATGAGATTTTCCTACTATCGGCAGATTTCCAACTTAATGGGAGCCAGAAGTATTATTATTTTTGAAATCGATACAGAGAGCCCCATGCCACATTTCAGAATTTTTCTCTAAATAGCAGTCTCCACCCTGACATTTAGAAAACACTAAATATGTGCGTTCGCACACATGAAAATGCACAGACACACATACATACATAAATAGACACGCACAAATACATGCACACATACACATACACACACCAAGAAGAGTGCAGGAGAATCTGAATTTTAAACAATTAACTTTTCATGAGAATAACTTACAGGTCTTTTGTTCCTTTCAATTCTACTCTGTTATGTATAGAAGAATGTGATTGTAGCATTTAGCTTTTAATTGCCATCGGAGCTTCATATTTATCACATGCTTTGAGAAAAGCTTTTTGGAGTTCATGCTGCAGATATTAGGCATATAAAGTAAGACAATCTTGCATGCGCAGAGGGAGAGAGAGCAGGGGAAGTAGTGAGGGAGGGTCAAAAAAGAGGGAGGGAGGGTGGGAGAGTGAGAGATGGAGAGAGAGAGAGAGAGAGAAACCCTAATTAACCTTTAATACACATGTTGCAATATTCCAGGTTACCAAAAGAACAACAGAGAGGGTACACCAATGTGTTTAATGCTTTGTCAAGAATAACGAAAGAAGAGGGAATTGCCACATTGTGGAGGGTATGGCTACTTTATGTGATATTTCAGTTATTCTGAAAAATTCCATAACATGAAATAAAGTAAGCGATGAAGCACCACATTAAGAGTTGACCCATGAGTAGGTTTGAGAAGTACATGTTAATGAATGATATGTATATTTATAATATGATAGAAAATAAATGTTTGTTTGCTAGATTCATGTTTACAAAATGACACCTATTTTAAACCATCTGCCTTGAACTTAGTATCTTGGCCTCTACTCTCTGGCTTTACCGCTGCACTCATCCCTATCTCTTACCTTGACTGTGTTATTGACCTTGATCCTGTGTTGAACTATGACCTTGTCCTGGTTCCAGGGTTGCCTCCCCACAGTTGGCCGTGCTATGGTGGTGAATGCTGCACAACTGGGCACGTACTCCCAGGCAAAACAGATGCTTCTCAAATCAGGTGAATGTTACACACATGTTCAAATGCTTGCACACACACACACACACACACACACACATACACACACACACACACGTACAAACCCTTTCTTTTTCTCATACACATAGACACAAATGCACTCACAGATGTGCACACTAACACACACTCATACATGCACACATACACACACATACTTTTACACGTATACATGCTTCCATGCACACATTTATCTAATCGTGTTATGACTGATTTATCATTTTACTTACTTTGGTAAATTATATATCAAGGAAGCAATGAAATTTTTTTTTGATTCATAAAGAGAAATTATGTCAAGTGAAAATTAAGAAACAGAATTTAAACTGTATAACTTGCTTTCTGAATAAAAAAAAATTCATCCCAGTAGAGCATTAATGATTATATATATGCTGTATTTATGAAATATTTCAGGTTATTTCCGTGATAATCTTTTCTGTCACTTTAATGCCAGTATGATCAGTGGTCTGGTAACAACCATTGCCTCCATGCCAGTGGATATTGTGAAAACCAGGTATGGCTTCCTTCCTGACTGTATGAAAATATTGTAAAGCCGGTTGAACTCTTATTGTTAAAACCAGGAACGTCATTGTTCTTGTCAAATATGTAATAAAAACTGTTTGAACAGTTGCTAAAATTGGGCTTTAACCATTTACATGTAGGGCTTGTTTCTTGGGAAGAAATGTGAAGCTGTTTGAATTCTTATTTTTTCAAAATCAGGTCAAAACCAGATATGGTTTGTTTCTAGTAAAGTAATATTAATCCATATAAACGCTAAATTTTGTCAAAACTAGGCATGATTTGTTTCATGTATAAAGGAAGGCTGATTGGACTAAAGTTGGGCTGAGATGTAGGTTTTTTGCAGTTTCCACCCCCTGCCCCACCCTCTAACTCTCTAATTTTAAATGTTCTTCAAAATTAAGTTATGTGATGACTTTCATTGTCTCTCCTATTCAAATAAGTTATTAAATTTACTAACTCATTTTTCATCTTTTTTTTTTAATGAAACCTTCAAGCTCCATCTCCGAGGGTTTTCTTGCTAAATTGTTTTCAGATTAAGCAGCTTACATGCTTGGGGTGCCTACTGAAGCTGCTAAACAATAATTGATAACAGCTTCAGAAGGCGTGACAGACATCTAAGCTGCTTGAAAGTTGATTGCAATTTAGCGAGAATCTCCTTGGAGAATCCCCATCGGAGATCAATCCACAGTTAGTACGATAGGGTCTGAGAATGGTTCCTCAGAAGCAGAGTGATGTCTGTTACGTGTGTATAAGCAGGAAGTCAGGAAGATGTGAAAATGAACTTGTCATTTTATAGCCCACTTTCTGTCTTGTTTTAGGTTACAAAATATGAAAGTCGTAAGTGGAGTGCCAGAATACTCTGGTGCCATGGTAAGTATTGATATATGATGTTCGATTAAAAAAAAAATAATTGTTAGAAGATAGTTGATATAAAAGATTTGCTGTAACTTTTCAATTTGCTCTAATGTTGGAAGATATAAAAAAAACTATGTTTCTGGAAATTTTTGTAAATGTTTTGCTTTCGTTACAGCATTTGTAGATTTAAAAAGGATAACATTACCACTGTTTTCAAAAAACTTAAAACTATATTGGTGTAAGTGAAACTTGGTGGCCTTTCTGAACTGCATCTGACCTTTTTACCAATGTGTTTATCATCGCTGCAGACTTTTTGTTAGGGAAAATCATTTTTGCTGTAGACTTATTTACAGAAAACTGGATAATTATAATTATTATTTCTCCTAATACTGTTAGTTTATTCTGCTTAGGTTTGTTTTCACTCCTTATATTCATCAATTTCAGTGGGTGAAAATCTGTTTTTCAGTGAACTAATTTTTTCTCACTCCTATTATTTTATCAATGAAAATATCTTTTAAGATCTTAACAGGGCTTGACACTAACTTTTTTCGATACTGGCCTGAGATATCGGTAAACGTTCAAGGATGATTGGACACTTGACATTTTACTTGCTCTTTGGGCCAGTGACCCCATTCATTCAATGGCCCTAGGTTGGTTTTCAGTGGCCCAGGGCCATTGGGCCACCCTTGATGTGAAGTCCTGCTTAATATCTTTTATGTTTAAAAACATTGCTCTCGACTCATTTTTATCCCTTACTTGTTTTTGTTTTAATCCAGAACTGCTTCACACGCGTGGTCAAGGTAGAAGGCGTGTTCAGTCTATGGAAGGGGTTCTTACCGTACTATTTCCGCCTTGGTCCTCATACGGTGCTCACCTTCATCTTCCTGGAATTTTTTATCAAGACCTACAAGAAGACTGCTGGCATCGAAGGCTCATCAGGTGGTCTCTGACAAGGGTTCCTCTTAAGATCCAGGAAGGGAGTCCCAGAATTACAAAACATAGGTTTATGTCGGATTCATTGCAGAGCAGAGAATTACAACATTACAACTATCACACAGGTTGCTGTTAATATAAACTGTTAGTCCTTAAATATTTTTGGTCTTATTCAGTTCAGGATAAGGTTGCAGTTGTCTACTAAAACAGAATGGAGAATATTTATTTTATTTAGAACAGAAACTATTTCATTCTTGTTATCACAAGGGTGCTTTTTCTTTCTTCCTTTTTTCTTTTTTTTTTTCTTTTTCTTGAGACAGGACCATGGTCACATTTTTGTTCTTTACAAAGTTACAATATTGCATAGACTCTTAACTTCTATCCATTTCATATAGACCGTTTCAATGAAGGTGGCATTTGCAGGTCCAGACCAAGATGTGCTCACTATACCTAGCCATCTGTAATGGGCAAAAGGGACCGTAAGCCCCCTTTACACTGCACTATACCTAGCCATCTGTAATGGGCAAAAGGGACCGTAAGCCCCCTTTACACTGGAAGGCGTTCTTTCTGCACCATTAGAGAGTGAAAAAATAATAACCATTAACATGCCGACAACTGACTGAGCATTGAGCATTCATTCTGCAACCAAAGTGATGCTTGTGCCTTCTTTCTACGCCAGTTTCATGGTCACGCAAGGAAGGACGTTGTCCAGTGTAAAGAGGGTTTTAGAAACTTGTGCAGTTTTGAAATCCTGTGTCTTGCCTAGAAATGTCTTTAGTATTGTTGTGCAATGTTTTTTTTTTTTTTAAGAAATCTAGCTAAGCTTGGTGTAAAGTATTAATGACACAATTTGCTTCATATTAATGCTACACCTTTAAATGTCACAAACCTGTTTTTGGGACCTGTACTTTGGTTTAGTCAAATATATATCATATAATTTTATGTGTAAATTAATATTGTTTAAACACAAAGTACTTTAAAATTACTCTCTCATTCACGGCACATTTTTTCTTAATTATTTTGACAGATAGCTGTGAGATTTATACTACTATACATATTTTTGCCATATTGTCAACAGATCTGAAGAAAGAAAAATTCCTTTGATAATATCCGTCAGTTTTATTCAGAACTGTCTTTTTGTGCAAGGTTGTGCAAGATTTCACAAGTGCATAGGATCCTATTGGGGGGTGGGGGGGGGGGGTGACCATATGCAAAAATTGTCCATATTGATCATGTTTGGTCTTTTTGATACCTCTGCAAGGACTTATTGGTGGGTAAACAATTGCTTTTTTTTAAATTACCTTCAGCATACCAGTTTAGATACAAGGATACCATTAAATACAGTGCTTTAGAAGTAACTTGATGTACAAAAATGGATTCCTTTTCATTACTGAACATATAACTGAAAGAGTGGGACACAATATTGGTGGTGCGATGACCAAGACATTAAATTTTTCTCTGCAACTTACTGTTGATAGAAACAATTTGCCACAAAAAAAGAAAGTGAAATAATTGAATTATTATATTTTATTGTGAATTTCAGAATTTGTTAATATTCAGTATAACAGTTATTCAACTTAAAGTTTGTAATGTAACTGTAGAGGCTTGGATGTATGTGTGGCGCATTTTTTTTTCACTTTATGTGTGTTATGGTATGTTTTTCCCCTCACTGTTAAAGAATTAAAAAAAGAACACTGATACAAAGTATTTGGCATTATTTAATTCACTCTCTTTGAAAACCGAGCACCATTCCTGCCATGCTAGTCAGGATCATGCAGCAAATGAATGTAATTTTGATAAAGATTAATTTTTTCTATGGATTTTAACCATTGTCTACTATGTTGACAAATGTCATTATAACTTTTTCAATTTATAGAGGTTACAGTTTCTACTAACTTAATTTCGAACTTGATATCAGATTGTTACTATCACGGTAACTGAAAAAAGTTCAGCTCAGCCCCAGTTTATACTTCCCTCTATTAAAAAAAATTAAAACTTGTTATCCAAAGTTGCCTTCCTTAAAACCTGCCACATACTGTTAGGTGCCAACTTCTACACACAGAATAATTACACATTTCATGTGTTTAATTCTACATTTTTATAAAATGATGATATATATTTAATATCCTATATTTCAGAAGCATACAGAATGCATCAGTACACCATTTTTGTTAACCAACATGAACCAGATATTGCTACCAAACCCTTAAAGTCTTGGGTCCTTATTATCAAGTCTATGTAAATTTGAGTTCAAAGTCCTCAATTTCTGTGTATTCAAACATTTAAAAAGTTTCAAGTAATGCCTAAACTCAAATGCACTCCTCGGGTAGAAGGCACAATAAAATTATTATAGACCTGTAGCCAGACATTAAAAAGGAAGTGGGAAGGGGGTTCTGCTGCAAAGAAGAACCTTTTACAAATTAAGTTGACCCAACTCGACAAATGGTATAGAACCCATAAAAATGGTGACTCAAAACAAACTTTTGTCGGGCAGTTCTTTTGAATCCACCTTGCCAAGGGGCCTGTGTAAACCACCACCATCCTTCCCCTAGGAAGGTGTCTTGTGAGACACTAAAATATTGATGTGCAAACAACTTCAATTTTAGATGCTGCTTGAAGAAACTAATAAATAAGTTGTAATTGTCCCATCTGACTCGGGGTCAATATATCAATCTTGATCACAGTTGTGTCCAGGCCTGTAACAGACTGACCAATCAGGCCTTGACCAGCATTGGCGGGACAATGACGTCCCTCTTCTCTTTTCCCATCAGTTCCTGGACAATGTCCAGTGCAAACTCAAAGGCAGTCCCTGGCCCTCTGCTGGTCAGCAGCTTCCCATCCTTGACCACTCGCTCCTCGGAATAAGTGCAACCTGAAAGACGGCAAAGATAACAGGGCTTTGTTTCACAAATTAAATGAATAGTGGATATGTGAAGATGGTACTCAAGTTTTAAAGACCATTCCTACAGACATTTAGATCGATCTATCCCCCTGGGGAGTCTCGCAAGATTGCTGTCAGCTTAACCAACTTAAATGTCCGTCCCGCATACTAAAAGCTGTAAGGGGGTAATTAACTTTTGTGCGCGTTAGGCTCCCGGAAGCTGACAGCAATTTAGCGTGAACCCCCAGGGAGTTAGATCGACCCAGATGGATCGATCCAAATCTGTTGGAACCCAGATAAGTATGGTACTTTATTTCATTTTTTTTACGTAATTCCTCTCATTGATTAAAATTTAAAGTCATAAAAAATTTCCTTTGGTAAAATTATAACATACTTAAAACACAGGTTAACAGTAAATCTTACTTGTTTTCTTTTTTTATTAACTGCCAACAAAAACTGTTTAATTAACTTACCGGGCAGCATCTTGTCTTTGACTGAGGGATGAGATGTCATAGTTTTACCTTTGCAAATACCATGACTAACAAGGGCTATGGGAGCTTAAAATCAAAAACAAAAATTTGAATATTTCATTTCAATCAACTGGATAATAAATCCATGTACTGAAAATAACAATGGTGTAATCAACTATGTACTTTGAATGAAAATTTTTAGAAACTTTTGGACAAAAATGTTATAGGTAATAGATAAAGAATATGTGCTGGTAGCAGGGGTTTATGGAAAAAGATGATTGGTGACTCTTTGTCAAGTGACTTTAACCACAGTTTGAGGTAAAAACAATAGTCTGTGCTGTACTCTGTTATATATATATTTGTGCATCATGTATGCCTTGACTCTGCAAGAATTGAACATGGTGCGAACTATTATTTTCTGCTCAAACCATAGCTCTAAAAATCCATAGCACTGAAACTACTTGTTATGCAAATGATATAAAACTTTTAAACTGATAAATACAGAAGAACGAAATTAATCAATTTAATTAATTAGACAGACTTTAATCTCTCACACCTGCACAAATGGCTGCAATCCATTTTCCTGAAGCCTCCTGGGCCTGTAACACTTCTTTCACTTTGTTTGACTGTAACAAATAAAAGGCACAGTGACTGTTATTTACATAAATTCCATCAAGTTCAACATAAATAAGAATAATTTCATCCAAATTGGACAGCAAAGACAGCATAGTAATAACAATGATAATAAATAAATAAATAAAAATTAAAAATTACTGGTAACAATAATAAATTAAGGTTTATAAAGTCAAGATATGCCTATTACAATTTCTCCAATCTTATCAGCTTAGTCTATTTTGTCAGAAAGGTTGTGGACTGAAGTGTAATTGATGATATATGATTAAAAGTCACATAAAAAAAGTAGAAAAATTAACAAATAAATATTTTTTAAAAAATGAGAAAATAATGCTTAAAATGCCAACTGTATCATTTATTCTTACCTGTGAAAATGTGTTGGCACCTCCCAGGCCCCCAGGCAATACCACCATGTCGTAAGTATCTTTTGTGGCCTCGTCCAAGCTTTTATCGGGGACAACAACAACCCCACGACTACACTTCACTGGGTCTGTCCCTGTGACACCTGCCACTGTCACATCAATCTGGGGGTAAAGAAAATAAGTTTCTACTGGACAAGTTAAATTAATTTTATCTCGTCTTTCTGTTTATCTTGTATGATCCTTCTAAAATGTATTAGTTACATGTATTAATAATTTAAATAAACAATACATATTACAATGAATATGGAAAACAAACGATAGACGTTTTGCCAAAATAGAATACCTTTTTACTTCAGTTTTGACCTGTGGTAAATGCAATAATATACCCAATTTCTACAAGGAGAAGATGAAAACTGAAGCATTCCTTAAAAAATGAAATGTTATTGTTATGAAAGCGAATTTGTAGGGGCTGCATGGATCGAGGTCGCTCACCCCTCCGCGTCTCATCACGTCTATAGAAATGACTGCCTCCATCTCTTCACTCCCTTCAGCGACCAGCAGAAGTGCAGACGGCATTTTGGCAACGCTGCAATAATTTCTGTTAACCAAAAGAGGAATTCGGAGTAAATTTCTGCGTAAGACGTGTAAAACCATGCAAAAAGTTTACAAAGACCTTGACCCAATTAAGAAGGACATAGCCTCAATGCCTTTTCCGGTCTGAATGATGTTTCTTCAATTTTTGCCTTATATAAGAAGGTTGAATACAGATTTTATATAATCTATTATTTGTATAATTCATTTTCTTTCATAAAATGATAGCAAAGATATACATTGACGTCATGTTTTGGGGAAATTGAGTAAAAACACAATGTTTACAGTTTCTAGGTTAGAGAGTAAAACAATCTGGTTGCCATGTTGGTTTGGAGCAGAGGTTGATCTGTCAAGGTTTTCTATTATAATAGGTTTCACTATACATAATTTAAACTACGCGAAAAAAAGAAAAATTTTCACATAAAGCTCAGCAGTACTAAGACCACTGTAAAAATACAAAATATTCAAATCGACAGAAGAGGGTAGAATTTGGTTATTTTGGACCTACGATAGCGAGCACCTGCTGAAGAGAGTCAGCTAATTCACATAAGATTGGACTTTAATTTATCATATGGGATTCCTAGGGATTTGGACGTTATAGCGACCATGAAAGGATATCTTAAGGGAACCGAAGGTGTTTTTCTACTGGCCCCTAAAGTGACCACTGTTGGAAGAGAGGGGTGTGACCTGGCCATTCAGGTAAGGACTGGAACTTAGTATGTGTATAAAGAACAAATAAAAATAATATATATATTTTATAATCTTACTTAAGTTAAAATATAACACCATCTCTCTCTCACACACACACCCTCTCTTACACACACACACACACACACACACACACACACACACACACACAGTTTTGACATGGTTTATCCCCACCCCACCCAAGGCACCCAACACATACATTAAAAACCTGTGCAAAAATAGCAAGTTAATGAAACAAGTAAATCCTGTGTTAAGTTACTTTCAAATATATTTATTAAACTAATAAAGAACATTTGAGCAATACAAGTAAAATGGGGAAGGCGGAGAGAGGCCATGTTATTAATAGGTCTACTTTTTCTTTTATAACGCATAATTTTAGTAGTGTGAGAAAAATACATTCTGTGCATTTTTTGTTCCAAATACCTTCTTTCCCCTTCCCAATGTACAGTAATTATCACTTTAATCAAAGCTATAGGACCATAGAAGAGCAATGTTAGAAGCTTAGCACCATTAAAGACATTGTTTTTCTATAAATTGCCCATGATATCATGTGCTAATAGCCTCCAGCAACCAAACATTACCATTACTGGACAGGTACATGATTTTCAGATATGAAGCAAGATAATGTCTGACCAACCTGAAGCAGTTAGTTACCCAAATAAATGCTCTCTATGAAACATCACACATTAGGCTGTCATCAGAGATCACTTTTGTCCCCATGCCCACCATGCTCACTAATTTCTGAAGATTGTGTCCAGGGCCCCGGAACTCGAAAGCATCGCACATTGCGACCGACCATAAGCGTCTTAATTCCATAACTCGCCCATACTCGCCCCATATAATACACTGTAGCTTCTATGTGATATCGCTATTAGCAATGCACACGAAATGCAGTAGTATCGAAGTAGCAAAAAAGCATTAACGCAGTAGTGGTGTGGAGCATATTTGCAGTAGAAATGCAGCATAGCCTACTGCAATTCTACTCCAAAAAGTACATAGGTTTGTACAGAAAGGAGCATTAATGCAGTAGATTAGCAGCATGATAGAAGCATAGTTCAAATATGCTAATTAGCTCCCAAATCGAAGCAGATTTGAAGTATGTTTGCAGTACGATTGCAGTAGTCTACTGCGTTGGAGTATCTACTGCATTTTCTTGCGGGATGGGGCCCAGATTTCCTTGGGCCTTTCTCTCTTCTCTTACCTTGCTGTGCCCACCTCATGGTTGCCCTTGTGATGGGGTCTGGATGCTCCCTTTAGACACCTTCAGGCCATCTCATTTTTATTTATTTTTTTTTTTTGTGACTATTTTTTTTGTGACAAGAGAGTAGATCCATCAGAAACTTTGGTTGAATTAGGGGGGTTTATTTTAGATCAGTCTGCTGTTAGAACAAAAAGTTCTGTCAGATCTAGAGTGACTGATTAACTGGTAGACATGTTAGCCTGTACCTGTATACGCATGCATATGTGCAAGCATGCGCATGTCATACACATTCACTGTTGGTGTGTATTCACAGATTTGTGTACAAGCACATGCAGTCCCACGCACTAGCTTTCCATTTACACAGAAATGCATTTTATACTTTAAAAAAATTAATCTAATGCAACAGACAACATAATTGAAGAAGAAAAATTGCTATATAGGTTAGTTTTTCATGAAGCAAATGAAAAAGTGAATGGATTTACTTGAAGATTTCATGTGTTTATTACTTTAAATTTGAAGATTTCCTTCCATATTAAGTTTTTGAGCCAAAAAAGTGTTTGATGGTTAAAATGAAAAAGATACATTTTTTTATTTTTAGTCAAGTTTTTGGCAAATACTTTATGCACAATGGTGATATCAGATGAATTATCGTATTTGAATGCTAAAAATTTGCTGTTGGATTTATCCTAAAATGTGATTGTTGAAACTCTGGGATCATAGCCTAATTGCAACAGGTGTTATAAGGTCTATACAACCTGTGAAAATCAATTTGCTGTTCTTTTTTTCTACCTTAATATTTTTTCAGTTCATACTTTTTTCAATATAAATTATATAGATGAAACTTAAATTTTTGAAAAAATATTTGAAAGTGAACACATTGAAATAATTTTTTACAAGTTTTTGCATCAAATTTTGATTTCAACTTTTCTTTTAACATACCAGTAGATTGTCTCCAAGTTAATGGGATAATAACTCTTCGTTTCGGCCAAAAAATGAATTTTCCTGAAGTAAACAACAATTTTCCCATACTTACCAATGGTTAATGAATCCCTTTTGACATTCAAAGTTAGTCCCTGGTTTTTTTTCTAAAAAGTTTGGTTTTTTGTTAAAATCTCTTAAGAGATTTTAACAGAATATAGCCATCAATGGAGGTCATGTGGTCTAAAGACAAGTTCAGATATCAGAATAATAGCTATGACTGCCGTTTTTGTGGTAAAACAGAATATATTATATTTCTATGAGTTATTCACAATGTTTTTATTGTGAAATATAGATCTCATATGAAGAGTTATTATCCCTTTAACTTTGTTGTTCAGGTGTTCATGACTTATAATATTGGATAAAGATTTTTGGTCGGAGTATTGAAAAAATGATTATAGCCAGCACACAGTCAATGTACCCTGAATGCAATATCAATATACCTGACATCTGTCGCACCTGGCAAGTGTTTGTTGTCATTTCTGCCCGAAAACCATGCCTGTCACAACGCCAGATTATTTTCTTGATTATGACTATTTTCCAGACTCTTACAATTTCAAGGTATTTAGATTTATCTGAGTGTCTAACACCTGTTCAGCCAAGGTTTCTTTGGTTGAGGTCTTATGGCTTTTGGGTTGGTTTTTGAAATTTTGCATACAGGAAGCTTATAAAATGGCACAGGCCAGTAGCGATTTTTTTTTTGTATTGGATGAATTTGTTCAAGTTTTATACATTTCTTTTCATATTATTAGGCCGAGTATTGAAAGTACTAGTATCTAAAAAAGCCAAAGATAAAACAGGATGAGTGACTTAACCAGAATATATAACAAGAGCAGTAAAAGACAAGAACTTTATAGAAGCATTTCAGGAAAGGGCTCTCCAAATGGATTGAAAATAATCATGGATTGAGATATAGATGAGAAACAGGTCTTCAGGCTGATGGGTCTACCAGTGGTTGGATTCTAAAAAATCTGACAAGCGACAGCAAGTTAAAGCTTATTAGTATCAAATTCTTAGATGAATACTAAGACACTGTTCAAGATTAATTCTTAATTTATATTATTTCAGTCATTGAACGTAGACCAGCAACATGCCGTTATAGAGTACAGCGACCAAGAGCAGTGCTACGTCTTACAGGATTTGAACACAGCGACAGGAACCTATGTCAATGACTGTCGCGTGCAGAATGCTGCAGTCAGACTCGCCCCTGGCGATGTTGTTCGCTTCGGGTTTAACGGGACGCCTTACGAGCTGCAAATTGATAATACCCAACAGACGGTAAGTGATGCTTCTGGCATATGATGGTGTTTTGATGTTCTCATTTTTTTTTCTGTGCTGGTTAAATATGGAACAAAGATGTACAGGCAAATTCTGTGTTCTGAATTTTATTTATTTATTTATTTATTTATTTGGAATGGAGGTGCAGAAATAGATGATGCTCAAAATTTAAGTGTATTTGTTGAAATGTTAGAAATTTATGCAGAAAAATAGGCCCAACATTCTGGGCTATTATTGCCTTCAAACTGCTGAGAGAAAGGCAACCCCACAACCAATCAATAATAAGCCATTATTATATTAACCATTTGTACAGATGTGATTGATTTATGACATTTTGTTCCATTAATTGGAAGCCGAAAGGCAATTCTTATCACTAGGGAAAGATAAATGTGGGTAGGATTTTGTTAATTTATTTCCGCACGATTTTATATATTGGGATTTGGATTTTTATATGGTCTATTTTAAAAAGCAATTGAGAATTTGATGATAACTAAACATTGGAGAAAATTATGTCAGTATTGAATAGGAAATGGGTTTGGGATTGATGAAAATGATTGGTTTATTTTTATGTTTTACAATTTGTCAAAGGAAAAAAAGCAATACTACAGCTACTTAAACTATGGTATATTTTATTCATTGGCATTTGTTTTTCACATGTTTTGTATTTTTGTGATTATTTCATTTATTTTTTTAATCATAATAATTCCAGGACTCATTTGAACCAATTGAGGTAAAAATGTCTAGCTTCCTTACTGCCTATGAAATTTAGATTAATATGCTTTGTTCCTGAAAGCATCTTTGTGATAGGGGATGGTGAGGCAGTTGGGGGAGGGGGGGGGGGATATGAGGAGAGGATACAGCTAAAGGGCTCCTTCATTTTTTCTCTAGATGTGCTTAAAAATTAATGCATTACATTTTTAAAATGTCAGAATGATTTAATGATAAAATAGGAATAGATGGATGGAAATTATGCTTCATTTCTTACAGCTTGATGAAGAATTATGTGTGCCTTTCTTAATTTTATTTCTGAAGAAATTAATATGTAGTGATCATTAATGTTTTAGGAATATGAACAATTTTAATAGTACTGTGATTAGAAGCAAATTTGATCCCAAACAATAGTTGATGTCTAGGCATATAATCTTCTTAGATTCTTTGATCTGTTTGGAGCTATTTGACGTCTAGAATTAGAAAATTCTAGCTAAAACTTTGTTTTGCCAAAACATTTTGCTTGTCTATTTTCTGAGCTTTGGTAGCAATCTGCTTACATGTTGCCATGGAAACAGGGTTGCTAAATCTTTGCATTCACACGTTGTAATTACAAAGTTGTAATTTACACCATTGTGTACAGGTATTAATCTATAAATAATAATTATTGATAAACAGATTGTTTTTGAAAATTTTATATATTAAATATTCTTTTTCCTAATTTACACCCACCTTTCCCATATAAATTCTATAATTTTACTTTACCCTTTCCAGCCCCAGCCAGGTTACCCAGTGCACCAGCAGATGCGCGCAGCATGGACCTCCCCTTATTCCAACCCCGTGCCTACCAGTAGCCTGCCTTATCTAAGCATGCCTTCATCGCAGCCAGTCACCACATGGGTGCCAACAGGGGGCGCTCCGGGGGCACTTCCCCCTCACCCGCCCCCCAGCACACTGAGACAGAGGCCACTCAGCGCTGGCGCCAGGAGGCCGAGTTACGAGAATTTGCAGAGGGTTGGAGCGGCGACTTCTGGAAGCCCCATGGTACAAAATAAAAGTAAGATATTTTGTTTGTGTGATTGATTTATGGGCATTTAATTTGATTTAATTTTTTTTTAAAATGATATCGACAAGTTTAACACAAATTTTAGTGATATCAAAAAAGTGCTGAATTTTTAATTTTTCATACTTTTCTTACTAGGCATAAAATTTGAATCACATTCTGTAGAGTCAATTTCTACACATGCACACACACACACTTTGGTATTTAAGTTTTCATCACAGACTGGAAGGGTTGATAATCTACCGTATATAAATTTTTTGTTACCAAAATATTGTTAAATTTGTTTGTGTGTATATATATTTATATACATATATTTTTCTTTCAGCTGTAGGCTGGCAAGCCAGTAGGAGCGCAGGAAGCTCTCCCACCAATGATATTTTACTCCTGCAAGAAAAGGTGACTTTCATTTTTATCAAAGAAAAAAAATAATGTAATTTTGTTGACTTGAGTTATACTCTTGAAAGGAGCCTTGATAGAAACTGGAAGTTACATATATGTTATTTGTTCAAGCTGATGGCATAGAATGCTGCTTTGGATACTGCATTGTGTAATACAATCAACTTTCTTTAGTTGAATTTGTTAGATCTGCTTGGTCATAGACAAATAAATTAATGCTCAAATAAATAAATATAATAAACAAATTTGAAAAGAGGAGAAATTGTCTAAAACTACATGTAAATGGACAACATTTGTTAAAGAAATTTCATTTTAAGTCAATCACATTCCAAGACAGTCATTTGACAATGTAAAAAAAAAAATCATTCATAGAAAAATAAATTCATAATTCTCATTCAATCTTTCAGGAACAAAAAATCATGCGAATGGGAGATGAAATAAATCGGCTGGCCGCCTTTGAGGCAGAAAACCAGCGTAAAGATCAAGTTATTGCACAACTTCAGGAGGAAAACAACAGACTGCGAGCTATTCAGAACACAGGGGGAGTTTTTGGAATGGATGCTCAGCTGACACAGAAGTTATTGGAATTGGAAAATGAACTTTCAGCAAAGAAAATTGAGATAGGGCACCTGCGAGATCAGGTAAAAAACGTACTGTATTTTGAAGTATACTGATAAATGGAGTAACCTGTATTTCATTTATTTAAAAAAATTATGGAGAAGATGAAATGCAATTTGATATATTCTTAAATTTTCTTGGTAACATCTTAAAAATATGATCACTGTCAGTCCAGTTTTTTTTAGAAGGTTTAAAGATGCAATGGTGAGTGCTAAGTAACTTTAGTAGAAAATATCTGTGCAATTGTCATGATTTTCAGTAATAAAATGTGATGTTCAGCTCAGCAGTATTTCTGAAAGTTATACTATTTGAAATGCTATGGATGTATATGCTGGGGTTTAGTGGCAATGATTTGACACAAGTACTGGCTTAACATGCATCTTTAACTTTGAACTTTAGCTGAACAGACTCCAGCAGGAGGCCGCCTTCCGGGGGCCGACCACGACTCCGGACGATCTCAAGAACATGAAGAACGAGCTGGAGAGGGTGAAGAAGGATAAGAATATCACCTCTGGTTTGGTCACCCAGATGCAGAGGGATATGTCTAACAAGGTGAGAGAAACTTATGCTCAATGACATATTTTATAGTTAAATCTATATGCTGGACTATGTGCTGGCTTTCTGTATATGATTTCTGTGACTTTGATGGCATTGCTAACAATTCCAAAATGTTTCCCCCAAGTTTTTTTTAATTTTTTCGCATGGTGTTAATTCTTTAAAGGAATGATTGTCATTGCAAATTCATTGCTACATGTAAAAAATTTATTTGTCCTTCTTTAAAATTTTCATCACAAAATATTACTAAATTTATTTTGATTATTTGTTTGTTTGTTTTCCTCAGCCAATGGATATAATTTTAATTGCACAAGCGGTGTTAAGCACATCTTTAAAAAAAAATGGTGTTAATGCATTCTTCCAAAATCGGTTCAAGAACAGTTTCAAGAGGCTAAAGTTAATTAAAAGGCCTAAAGATTATTTAAAGAAAATAGCTTTCTGTATAGTTTTTACTATTCAATATACACTCCCTGGGTTGCGTTCAGATAGAAACACATTAAACAACATCCAGCACCCATCTAAGGCATGTTGCCATGGTAACTGATCTAATCAATATTACACTGTGTTGTGTGTAATTATATCGTCATTGATTGGAATGTTGGTATTAGGAACATTAAGGTTACCCTTCTCAAATTTCATAAAAATCCTCTCATTTATTCTGATATTTTATTTTTTACGTGTTGTCATTTGTTTATCATTCATCATAATTATGAGAGCATTTAAATGAATCCAACCCTCTCTTAGATACTGCTGAATTATTTCAAGATATTGTTTGAAATGTTATTTGGGGAAAATGAATGAATACTGTTTGTTCAAATTTAGTGAGGAATTACCGTATTGCAATGATATTGTGCGGAAATATCCTTCCCAAGTTCAATAATACACCAAGAATCGCTATTGATTTTGATACCTACACCTATTATTTCCTTCTGTACTACCTGTATATGTGCAACTGAGGTTGCCCTACAACAATTTTTTAAGCAAAAGGCAAATTCCTCAATTATCTAGAAATAAATTTGGAAATGGCCAAAGATACTCAAATGTTTTAAGATGATTAGTACTTAGTGAAGGTTCTTTTTCATCCAATGAGTTATCTCTGAAGCATTTAGGATCTTGCATTTTTACATGTATGCATACAGTGTTCATTTTGCAATCAGAAAAATTACTCCAATTTTTGATTGTGTATCATAGTCAGAGCCAGGGTCAGGTTATGTACAAGGTTCTCTCAAACAATATCTGTCTTTTTAAAGACTTTGAAAACAGTTTTCCAAATTATTTTTTTGATTTAGGACAATAATTGATAATTTTTTTTTTTGAACCAAAATTAGGAAAATAAGTATGAGGTCAATTTGGTGCAGTCCCTTTTTTCCACATGATTTTTAGCTTTTGAGACCTTCCCCCATTCTTTTCAGGCATTAATTAATACAATTCCCTGTAGTAAGTCTCTCTGGAAATTACTGTTAATGATCTATATCTAATTATTTGCTGTGGCCGTTACAGGACTCCACCATAAGCCGCCTGACACGAGAGATCGAGAAGTTAAAGAAAGACGTACGTGAGAAAGATGTACAGATGACAGCAATGTCGGCCAAGGTAGTGCTTTTTTAAACATTATTTTCTCAATTATGAGTTTTATTTAATTGCAGTAGCTAAGAAATACTTGGATTGTTTCTGCTGAGCCCTGTTGTAAAAAGAAAAAAAGTGAGGGATTGAAATTAATAAGCAAGGGGCAAGAAGGAATGAATGAGTTTACAATATGAATGCTTCATTTGCTGAATAGAGTTTGTGCATAACTAGTTATAATCTAATATCACTTGGATATTCTTCAATGTTTAATGTATTTTGATTAAGAAAATGAACAAAAAAATCTCAGTGCCTGATATAACTTACCCATTTAACAGCCTGGCAGTAAAATGGAGAAAAAATTGCTGCTGAAAGCCACTGAAGAGCAGGTAGAAATCTGCAGTGTTTTTTTTTTTTCAAAGATAATGCTTTAGTGCTTATTGTGTGCATTTCAGAGGTTACATCTACCTGCATGTACAGGGTACCATAAGGTTGAAGTGAAATGAGATTTCTGCAATAAAAGTTTCTTCTAAACAACATCTCCCATTTTAACAAATCGCCTTCAGTGATGAAGCTGTTACAATTGCTGACTAATTTTTGAGGAAACTGTTATTGTTACTTTGAGTGCATATATACCTCTGTTGATGAGAATTCTATGCTGAAATGAGACTTTTGCATGCAAAAATTATTCTTTCATTTGCACACTGTTTGATAAGATGTGATGGTGGAGGGCCCCTGAAAGGGTAATCAATACACATTCAACCAGATAAACATTTTAACATTTTACCATGTTACACATCTATATTATATTTATTATATTTATTTAGCCACTTGTCTGAGACAGTTGACTAGAAGATTTGGATGTGGTAGTAGTAAAATCAGATTCTTCTATGTTGACATTGAGATACATCCATTGTTTTATCATTCACCACCTGTACTACTGTATATAAAATTCCCCTGTGGATTAGGCTATTTTGATTCAATCTCACATGATATTTCCAAGGCCTAACATTCTGGACAGGTGTCCAGAAGTGTAGGCTGAATGTAGCCCTTTTTTGTTTCAATCAAGTCAAAGTTTTATTTTTAATTCCAGGCTGCCAGATTGAGAGACAGTAAGAAGGTGGACGAACACTCTGACGCCAGAGACAAGGAGCTGATGAGCTTGAGACATGTAAGGGAGCGTTTAGATAGATACATCTTACTAGTTGGGTCAGTTCAGCTCTGTGGAGGATCTTGCTAAGTGCTATCAGCTTAACTGAATGACATGCCTCCTGGAGGGTAATTGTATCTGGGTCAATTACCCCTTAGCTGCTAGAGGAGGCAACTGACAATTAAGCTGATTCCACTGATTGCACTTTGCAAGAATCCCCTGCAGGGTTGAACCGGTCCATTTAGTACAATGGGTCTATCTGAATGGGGTCAAAGATCCTGGAATTATATCTATTTGAAACTAATCAACTTAAGACCATTACAGCAGTACTCTTTTCTGTTTGTCACCATTTTGACTAGTCTTAAAATGTTACTACGCTATGTGGATTTCTCCCCTTCAACATTTTGCTTCCAAATGATTGGATGAATCAAAATTAATAGGGTTGACAGACCATGTTAAACTTAGGGGCTTTATATAGATGACTCTCTTACATTATAGCAAGATTTTAGATATCTAATTTTTTTTTTTCAAATTTTTCACCCAACAGAAATTCAAGGCAGCTGAAAACAAAGTCCAGGACATGAACGATTTGGTGAAGTCACTGAAAGAAGAGATCGAGAAGCTGAAGACATCAGTGGGAGAGGAGAAAGAGGGCCAGAAGAAACTACAGGCTGAAGTGGACCATGGAAAGCAGCAGTACCTGGACATGCAGAGGGCCGAGAGGCTGGTCAGGGTGGACCTGGAGCAGGCGACAAAGAGGGTGAGATGATGGTCACTGGTTTCCTTCCTTTTCTTTCTCCCTCTCTTCTTCTATCTCTTCCTTCCTGCCCCTCTCTCTTTCTCTCTCTCTCTTCCTTCCTCCTTCCCCCCTCCCTTCTTTCCTGGCTTTTATTTAAAACAGTCATCTGCACTGGACAGTTACCCAGACATGCTGAAAACTTTTCGGAATGGCCGGACATTTGGACCGGCAGTAATGAAAAATGTGCCAGTTCGAATGGATTTTTGTTGGACCAAAAATCACTATTCGTTTGAGACAGATACTACCAGTACGATGAGGGTAGCTTACTTTGTTTGTGAATATGATAGATTTGAAATGGAAGGGAAAAAACACTTTGGGTTTTATACAATTTTATTAGTGACTTATGTCGAATGATGACTGTAAATTCAAAATTGTGGCTCTTAAAACTCTTGTCGGTCCATTGGACTGACCAAGTCCAATTTTTTACCAGTCCAAACAAATTTTCCCAGTCATGACTGATCAGACTGACAGTTTCAGCATGTCTGGTTAACCAGACTAATTTTGATTGGTCCAAGCAATCCAAATTGAACTTGTGAAAGGGAGTAACCTCCCCCTATTGTTATTTCATGTTAGAACCAATCAAAATGGTGCGAAACAGAAAATTGTAAGGAACGCTATGAAATGAGCCTTTTTTAATACCCACAATTTTTATTTGCATATGTCTTCTTTCTTTACCTATAGCTGGAGCGCTTCAGAAGCCGAGTCGTTCAAATAACTTTCTCCACTCCTGGAATAAAAGCCCCAGACGGGGAAATTAGTGATGATGAACTGTTGACAAAATTGAAAAAAGTTGTGGATGACAGAACAGAATTTCGGAGAAAACTTCAAGACACAAAAGAGTCATTACAAGTTGCAAATACTACAAATAAAGAGGTGGCTGACAGTTTGAAGGCTTTGAAACAACATCTCAATGATGCTGAGGTGAGGAAAAAATATTTGTTGTAAACCACAGTTGGTTTTGATTTTGGTAAATATTTACCAATTTGGAACACAACTTATTCAAAGGTTTGCAATATTTTGAGATGAAATGAAAAGCCATAAACCTTGATGAATATCTTGGAAATAAAAAAAAATATATTTTGAAATGAATAGTAAATGAATAGTAAATGTATCATTTTTGAAATTACCATAATACTATATATTTTGAACACCAAATGGGCAAAATGCAGTGCATGGTATAAATTATGCAAAAGCTGCTGTCATTTACGGAGCATCTACCAAGTTGGCAAAATCATGATCATCATGTTTTATATTTTTCCTTCAGGGTCGTCTTCGAGACAATGGCCGTCTTGCCCGCCACATTAAACAGGAAATCAACCTGCTGCAGTCTGTTGGGGTGGAAGACCGCATGCAGTGGGTCAAGGACAGGGTGGTCGCCTTCATGTCTTCAGAGTTGTCATGGGAACAGGACATAGAGAATGCCCTGGAAAGATGTGGGGTCAATGTCAAGGTCTCTACTGATGGTGAGTTACCAGGATGTTGATTTGTGCTGTCTGCTAATGAAAGCATTATAATGTTTGGAAGATGAGCTTTTCATTACTTTTGTATTCTGTTGGCTGTTCAAAATGAACACAGAATTAATATGAATAAAAAAGTAAAGAGGTGATACAATAGATAAATGAATGAATAAATAAATTAATTAAAATGACAAGATAGATAAAAAGTCATATTATTATTGAAATTTTACAGATGTCTTCACCAAATATAGTTTGTTTTTTATTTCATTTCCTTTTGTTTTTCTAAAATTTCAGAACCAGGAAAGCACATCGCCAATCTGTATAACAGATGGGAGTCATCCTTGTCTGAGAAAGAAAAACTGAATGCTCAGATTGCTTTACTGGAGACTCAGCACAAGGCAGACATCCTAGAGCATGTGACCAAGGTCAAGACTGAGATGCAAGACAAGCTTACAGACGCCGTGGAAAAAGCTAAACTAGAAAGTAAGTACAGGCATTTCCCTCAGACTGGGTTCCCACAGATTTAGATCAATCCATCTGGATCAGCCTATCTTCCTGGGGGTTCACGCTAAATTGCTGTCAGCCGAGTGCGCACAAAAGTTAATTACCCCCTTACAGCTTTTAGTAGGCGGGACAGACATTTAAGACGATTAAGCTGACAGCAATCTAGTGAGACTCCCCAGGGGGATAGATCGATCTAAATATCTGTGGGGATGGTCTCTTAGGGATACATGCTTTGTGCAAGGTTGATTTTATTTTCCCACTTTAAGAGATGTTTGGTTTTCATAAAAAAAAATTCATTTTACCTTTTCAGATCTTTAAATAATAATTCATTTTAAATCAAAACATTAAGAATAACACCAAACAAAAATTGGAACATGGCAGGTATTGAATTTAAATTAGATCTTTTAATCAAGAGTTTTTCACATAGCAACCTGTGTGGGTATAAGGCCATTATTGTTCAAGTGACAAACAAACCAGTTTTGGTGACCCCTTTTTACATGACAGTGTCACCACACAGCTTCTCTGTTGTTATATAATATGCCACATGGAGACCAAAAAATTGAGACTTGAATACTAATGCCTAAACTGCATGCAAACCATACATCAAAGTATTCTTATTCTAATGATTTTCAATAACTTTAAAAGGAAGAATTAGTCACCCTTTTATTTATTTTCGACCTCTGACTTCCCCTGTTGATATTCTATTGATCTGCAGCAGACAGGCTTGATTTTTGACAAAGACGGTCGATACAGGGTACAGTTGTGAATACCTATATTAGGCCCAGTAGCAACAATCGATGCTAAGCAAACAAATCTGATTTTGGTTTGTTTTAGGTGAGGAAAAAATGAATAAAGCCATTGATGAGATACGTAGTGTGGAGCAGGAAAAACGAGAGAATGCTGTTGAAGCTGAGCGAAAGAAAATAGAAGAGTTACAAGGCACCGTGCAACAACTGAGACAGGTAAGATTGGGGAGGTACAGTGTTGATGAGGTTTGTCAGAGTAAGTGGGTTAAGAAAAGGGAAAAATAAAGGGAAATGGCGAAATATAGGAAACTAAACTAGAGAATAGAAGATTTACAGAATGTAATAAACCAGAACTTCAGCGCGCGTGTGTGTGTGTGTGTGTGTGTGTGTGTGTGTGTGTGTGTGTGTGAACCAGGAGAAAAGAATCAATCATTTAATGTAGAAGATTACAAGAAAATATTAGATGATTTAAAGCACGCATTCATCCATCATGGCTAGGCAAAGGTGAAGTGGGAAATGATGATAGCACCTTATAAGTTATAGCAGAGACCAAATAGAAGACTACAGATAATGAAAGATAAAAATAAAGATATAGAATTGGAATATATTATTTATTACACATTATTATAGTGTACAAAATATACCAACAGGAGTAAACAGACTATGATGTATATCTGACAGCTTTTTTAATGATTTTGTAAAAATGACATTGTATACTTAATAAATAGATGAATACTAGTACTATATTATAATTATGCTTCATATGTTGCAAGTTTAATGGATTTAGTTATAACTTTTTTCATCAGTTACAATGGATTTGTATGAATGCCCCCATTACCAGCTTTCTTTCTTCCTTCAGATGCATAAAATGAAAAGATAGCAACATATAAACATAAGTTGTGTCATATGTAATCCATATGTTATCCATTGATAGAAAACTGAAATGTAAAACTAGAGGGTGAAATCCAATGATGTCCACTTTATGTGCAGAAAGCTCTGATAAAAAAAAATTTGACTTGAATTAAACATGGAAAGGTCACCTTATATTATATGTACCTGATGCCGACCAATCAGAGTCTGTCCCTTTTAGGTTTTATTTAAATATGAAATCTGCTTATATGAAATTGCAAAGGAAATTTATCAAATGCAAACAAAATTTGGTGACTGCAAGTATGAATCAAAAGTTATTTGAATTACTCTAGCAGAAGAAGGTATAATAGTGTAAGTGGGGTCTTATTGTTTGTTTGTATTTGTGCAACAGCGACATTGTTGATATTTGCACAAGCGATTAACTGTAAACAGGCGCAGATTGTATTTAAATATTAAAATAAGAAAAGAATCTCCAGACAATATTCCAGTACATGCAAAGTATCACGACCAGGTTAAACAAATGTTTTCCACAGTCTGAAACAACACACAAACCCAGGAGTAATATTGACATAATTCTTTATGTGGAACAAATCCTTTCTTACATAACCCACTGCATAGTATAGCAACATTGTGCATTATATCAGTACCCGGCACAAAAAAGATCAGGGGTTTGACCCACTGATTTGTTGCAATCAATACTACCTGAGGAGTTGATTAGTATGGGTTAAATGTTTCTATAGATACTGGTAAAGAGTCACCGTGTTGGACTGCTTAGTGTGCAACAAACTAGTTACTGTGCGGGCCACATTAGAGGAGTCTTGCCAAAAATACTTCTTCGGGCCAAGCTGCGTCTTTTTAAAGCAGTGATTTTAGCAAAGTTAGTTTAAAAGCAGTTATTTTAGCGGAGTTGACAAGACCATGAATCCACAACTTTAAATCTTAAATTGCTTGAAGGTAGTTTTAAAAAACTAAGGTCCGATCAACAGCCTAGGATGATTTCCCTGGAACTTACAAGTTGTCAGAAGAATTATCAACAATGTGACGAAAAATTTGCTTGGAATTTTAGCTGATTTTTGTCAGTTTTGATTCAAAGAATAGCACACAGCGATATTATGATATGAAAGATTATTAGAAATTCATAACTTGTGTCACGATGGACACGGATGTGTTCCGACTGTGGCATATACATGACAGGGTAAGTCAGGATTGCATAGCCAACAACTTGAAAAAATCCTGGGTTTTTTTTTTATTTTATTTTATTTTATTTTTTATTTTTTTTTTTTTTTTTTTTTTTGTGAATAGTCCCGACTGGATAAATGGGTTTAAATTTTGATTCAGAGGGAACTTTTCTTTCTCCCCTGAACAGCAGCAACAACAACAACAAAAGCTGCCTGGGCCTGGAGCATGTGGATTGGTTTTATGTATTACAAATTAACTTGGTGGGATATTTAGAAATACAGTACATGTGAAACTTTTTTCTCTTATTTCCAGAATTTGACAGCTAAAGCAGAAGAAGATAAAGAGACATTGGAATCTGCCAAAGAGGCCCTAACACAGGTAGAAGACTACAAGAAGTTAGAGGTAAGTAAGGATCTAGAAATTGCATTTGGTATTTAAAAGACTGATTGATTGGTTAATTAAACACAGGGATATTAGGCATTGAGGTTATATAAAATTGATAAATTTGTATATGAGGGCAGCCAACCCTAATTTTGAGAAAATCAGATTTTGTTGCTATTTTATTTTCCTGTTTGTCTTTTAAAGTTTGACCTTAAAATGCTTTTGTGTTAGGATTAGGATTAGATTTGGGAAATAGATGAGTGCATCTGATCCACAAATAAATTCATTTAATATTTCATAATCAAATTGAAAATAAAATTTGAGGGGGGGGGGGAGGGGGGTAACATATGTTGAAGGTAATTTAACATTTCGATATTTCCTTCCCATTTTGACCACTGTTCTTGTCCTGTGCATTTCACAATCACATCTTTCATGTTTTTTTCTTTTTTAATCTCCAATCATCATTTGACAGTCTTAATTTCAACCTACTGATAATATAAAAAAAGTACAAAGATGTCTTTCCACTTACCTTTTTCATTGACTCCATATGAAAAATTGACAAGTTGACATAGAGTGTAATGGATTATTTTATTGATATAGGGATAATACAACCTGATTAATTTACTGGTCTCAGCGTGTTTGTATTGAGTCTGCCTTTCATTGGGTGAAGCTAGATAAAAAGTAAATATACTTACGGGGTGTTGCTTGGTGTCCGATTGTGTTTGTGTGATGGTGTCTGACTTTAGAGTCTGAGAGCCCACTGTTGGTATTGTAGATCCTTAATATAGTCAGGGGAAAACATTTTAGCTTCTATTCAGTCTGTGTTTGAACTCTCCAATTGATGCAGGATATAGATAGGTAAGGATAAGATTGGAACTCTAGATATTACTTTATATCTTGTAGGAAGTACAGATATTCAGAATATTAGTATGCTATAGGAGTGTTTCAAGATATGACAGTAATCCAACTGCTGGTTATAGCTTTGAGATAAGATATTGCATTTTAAAGTATAGATAAAGCTTGTTGGTATATACATTTGTACATATGTATGTTTTAAAGCAAGGTTCAGCTTCAGATGTTAAGTCTAAGTTTAGGTATGATTTTACTTTAAACTTTCTGGTATAAAGTAACAAGGTGATTCAGCTAGAGAAGACAGATGTTTTGCATTCGCCTGAATTAATATAAGTAAATCTAAAATATAAACATGATAATCCATGTAATCATAATTCAATTTGCAAATTTCTTAGAGTATAGACAGAGAAAAATTAATTACAAAATGAATTTTTTTTTTGAAGTCTACATTTTGCTGGTATTTTGTGGTGAATTTCTTAATTTTTTTTTTCTTTTTTTGACTAAATATTGAATTGTTTGCCTCTGCAGGCCGAGTTGCGTGACCAGCTAGCAAAACTAGAAGCAGAGAAGAATGCCGAGATCGCAGAACTAAAACTGTCCCGCAGCGACGCAGCAGAGGAGTCGAACAAGGAGGTGACGAGTTACAAGGAACAGATCAAGCAGCATTCAGTCACCATCTGCGCCATGGAGGAAAGGGTGATGAAACTGACCAAGAAGAACAAGGATTACCAGACTGAAGTGACCGCTCTGAAGCAACAGATCCAAGGTTGGTGGGCAGTTAGTTACATTATGACCACAGTGGTCAAGTTTTGTCACCTTTGTGGCATTGAATAATTGATAATGAAGACTACTTCTTCCCTGACTAGTATATACTTTAAGTTACTTAAAAGGAAAAAAGAGTGAAAGGTAGATTGATCCAGTCTGGTGGCTTATAATGTTTGTTGGAGAAAGCTTAATATGATATATTAATTATTTGATATAAATATTTGTGCTGTACAACATTCCTTACTCCTGACCAATAGGTACATACTTTATTATTTTATGTCTACAAACAAACCTTCACATAATCTAAACCACCATTAGATGTCATCAAACTTGATAATCTTTTATTTAATTATAAATAACACCCGTATCACACCATTATATCGAAAAACTGCATCTGATTTAAAGGAGATATGAAAGGGTTGGGACTTGAAGTAATTGGGATGTTGGCATTAAAATAATTGTCAGTTATTGTATTGTGCCGAGATGCAATTGCTTGTTGGTTATATATATATATATATATATATATATATATATATATATATATATATTATTTTATTTTATTTTATTTTTTTTTTATCAATTTGATAAGTAGTGCATTTGTGTCATTTTAGAATTGAAGAGCAGGCCCCCACCTCAGCCAAAAGTTGTGAGACCGAAGACGCCGCCCAAGCATACAGTGGTGGTAGAACCAGGCCCTGATGTGGCAGCTTTGGAGCAAATACTACTGGCTGTTAGGTAAGACCCCCACTTTCTCTTTCTTCTTCTTCTTCTTCTTCTCCTCTCTCTCTCTCTCTCTCATTCTTTCAAATAATATCCTAGTAGTATATAAGTATGTTTGTAAATATGTGTTATGCTAACCAAACCCAGTTTTAGAAAGCTGTAAAATTTTATGCAATATTTAAAAGAGGACAGTACTATTTGTTTTCGCTCTTAATTTCTTGTTCTCAGAAGTGTTTTGCTGTGATAGTTAGTTGAAAACATTCTTTATTTTGTAAGATTGGTGATATTTTCTGACTTATGGATGGATTTTTGGATTCTTCTGTTTTTAGGCGAGAAAACCAGGAATTGAAGAGCAAGCTTCAGGAGCAGCAAGATGTCATCCTTGCTCTCAGGCGAGACTTGGCAGGTGCTTCAGCCAGGATGTCAGACATGACAGGTAAGTCCAAATTGCAATGTCAGCCAGGACAGGTGAGTCCAAATCAGAATGTCAGCCATAACAGGTAAGGCCAAATTAGAATGTCAGCCATGACAGGTAACTAGAGATAAAATAGCATATATATAGATGTAAAGGACTAAAGAACATTTAAATTAGAGACCAACACAAGACATTTGGTTATTTATAAGTATGTAGTATATCACAGTGAATGTTACTCAAAAGAATAATAATAACCTCTTTACCACCATTAACAATACAATAAAATACCCCATTTTGCCATTCCAGGTGAATTAAGTGAGGCTCAGAAGGAGAAACTGGAGCAGAGCACAGTGCAGGTCCAACAGAAGCAAAGAGAGCTGGACGAGGAAAGACAAAAACTAGCCAAAATGTCTGCCATTGTGGACAGTCAGAAAAAGGAAATACAGGACTACTCCAATGAAATGAGGTAATTTTTTTTGGAATAGATGATAAACTGATATGCCGTTGTTTCGCTAAGTTAGCATAAATAAGTTGAAATGTTTAACATGTCTGTGATGGGTGATACAAAGGAGGATATCTGTACTCATACACTTAATTCAGTGGCTGACTTGTTTACACAAGTATAAATGTAGGTAAGGTTTTTATCTGTAATAAAAAGATAAAATATGCTTATATAACTGAAAAAAAACCTTTGAAGCTTACAGCACATATAAATATATATAAAGAAACTTAAATAGATAAATAAATATTAAATACAAATGAATTGAATAAAATAAAAAAAGAAAACAAATGACAAGCTACTTGCTAATAATATCTGTGGCCCAACAAAGGAAACAAAGAAAGTAAATTAACAAATGACAAGCTATCCCCCAATAATACAATAATGTGCATAAAAATGTGACAGTGCAAGTTACCACACTTCATTTGAAATAATACGTTGGCCACACCCCAATCTAAACTCCTACAAAATGCACTTTCTTTCGTTCTCTCTCTCTCTTTCTCTCTCTCTCTATATATATAAATACAACACCTCCAAATTCAATCAAAGTGGTGACAGCATGACAGCTGAGAATAAAGCGTGAGCAAAACATTGAACTTACAATTTGATGTCCTCTTTTGCACCACTCAATCTTTCTAACTTCTTACTTCTGTGATATCTGCTGTGTGAATGAACTACTCACTCTCAGTGGCACTGCCTATTACTGACTGTGGGGTGTGTGGGTCGTACTAAGTGCATAAAGCAGAGGGGTGTAAGGTTATCTGTCCTTTACTATCTCAATATTACAATGATGGCAGTGATGGGATGAAACGTGGTGGCAATTTGTCCTGAAATAATTAATTATGAGTAATATAGCAGCAGTCAGTGTGAATATAAATGTTTACTGAATATATGCTAAAACTGTGTGTGTGTGTGTGTGTGTGTGTGTGTGTGTGTGTGTGTGTGTGTGTGTGCATGTGTTTGTGAGGAAATTTCAAGAATGTGCTTCATAGTAAAAAAAATAGATTATTTTAAAATTCATAACTTTCAAAATAATATAATTCCAGTAAACTGAAGTCTCTGTTGAACAAGTTGAAGACAGAGACAAGTGATAAGAACTCTCAGGTGCAGGAGCTGGAGCTGGCTCTGACCAGGGAAAAAGATGAACAAAAGAAACAGCTCAGCTTGGTGGAGGAAGAGGTAAAAAATTGCCTTCCTTTTATTTATCAATTTGCTTTTTTTCTTGCTCAAAATTTTTTCCTGGGTTTGGAGAATTTTTTTCATTTGAGACAACTTTTAAAAAACAGAACAATTAAGAAGACTTTGATCCCTTCAACACGGTGTTGGAGTGCTTTAACTTTTGCAATTCTGTTCTCAAGTTATATTTTCTTTTTCTTTTTAATATCCAGGGTCGCATAACCTCAGAGCTGACATCCTATGGTGCTCAATGTCGAGGTGAGAGGCACGAACAAGTCATTGCCAGGCAGAGAGAGGCACTGGCAGAGCTTAGGCAGCGCATCAAATCACTGGAACAAGTCAGACCACCAGGTGGGGCTGGAAGCATGAATGTTCGTTCATGTGTCCTGGGTTTATAATTCTTTTGATTATTGAACTGGGCACTTGAAAGCAGTCAGTAATTGTTCCGAAAATTAACACTTTTATACATATACATGCAAAATTGTCAAATTTTTATCTATTTGAGACAATTATGAATGCTATTTTGAGCCCAGTTTTATCTATTCATATCGACTAATATGTAGTAACAATTAGAATTTAAAAAAAAAAAAAACAGCTAACTTAAGTGTGTTGTTTATTACTAATGAATGTGTTGAAATTAATTCTTTAAATACAACAAAGAACCTGGTTACAATTTCAGTTTTCAGTCTTGCATATTTGTAACATCCTAGACCTACTCTTTTTTAATAACATGCCATCACTAACATCTAGCAGCATAATCATGCTCTGTCCTTTTCAGGGCCCCCGTTTCACATTTAAGTCTTTATTTTCAATCCAAGTGCTGTTGGCTTTGACTCTGTCTTTGCTTAAGTGACAAAATGGCTTTTAAACATTTTATTTTCCAGTTAAGGCTGAATACTTGCTGAAGCACACCCAAATGAGCATCCTGCATTTTCTTTTGTGTTAAATACGCATGCTAATTCTTGCTTATTTTGTTTTTAGTGAAAAGGCAATTCAAACATATCAACTTTATTACTTATTTTCATATACCATCTTACATCATACAAAGTCATTTTGTTTGTTTCTCTGACATCTGTTTCTTATATTATAGGATTATTTGGGCAAGCTGTTTTTTCATTTGTCTTGAAAAAAGTATTACAAAATTGTACTTTACAGTAGTTTTGTGTATCTTGCTGGCTGTGCTTTTTAGTTTTCACCTTTTGCCTTTTTTACGGCTATAGCAGACTGAAAACTTTACATGTGTCATATGAAATTTTTATGTGTCTTTATGTATCTTCATGATGTTTATGTCTAGCCTTAGGGTATGATCCATATGATATCTGGCTAATCTATCTAGTCTTGCGGATTTATCTGAATATTTTTAGTATACATGTCTCTACCTGCTTTGAACACAGCTTTCAATGTTTTTTTTTCTTCCCGAGTTCCTGTTCAATTTACCTGAATCAGTTAACTCTAATTATAATAATGGAAAATCTGTTCTTTACCTTGTATCCCAACCCAAATTTTCCATCAAGCTTTTTGTGTTTGATTCACTGCCTGCATGACCCTTCACTCTATTTTTTCTCTTATATGTAATATTCATATGGATAGATCTTTTACCAGTCTTAAACCAGTTTGATTGACAGCCATGTAGATTAAAAACTAAATAAATAACAACAAAGAAACAAGTACAAACAATCATGAAGCTATTATTAATACTTTTTTTTGGTTGGAGACAGTATAATCACCTTGCCTGATGATATCAGTTACACTGGTTTAGAACTGGCTTCACTTTCTCCATAAGACCAATCCTTTTTGACCCAATCATCAAACATCAATAATTCCCCTAACACTTATCATTATTTTTTTTACTAATCCCTCTTAACCCAGGATTTGGCATGGCACCCCCGAGCACATGTGGCAGTGGTCTAGGTATGAACATCACCAAAGTGCCCTCCAGTCCCGCCCTGACTTCCTACCCTGCTGGTAACTCTGGCGGGTCAGCAGGTCAGAAGCGCGTTGGTTATGGAGGTGGTGGTGGTGGTGGTGCTAGTAGCAACAGCCCATTACCCATTGGAAGTAGCAGTAGTATACACACAACACATCAGAATAGATCCCAGATGCAAAATGGCCATGGAGGGGGTGTGGCTGGCATTCTGGGTGGGGGTGGGGGTGCTGGTGGATACGGTGGGAGAAATAGCCCCAAGAACCCCACCCCTCCCATCGGAAACGGCCCTAATTCTGCTGCTGGCATGCACCGCTCCGTGTCTTACGGTGGGTCTACTGTCAATGGTTATGGCAGCGGTGGGATGAGTAGTGGTTATGGCGGTGGCAGCGGTGGGATGAGTAGTGGTTATGGCGGTGGCAGCGGTGGGATGAGTAGTGGTTATGGCGGTGGCAGCGGTGGGATGAGTAGTGGTTTTGGCGGTGGCAGCGGTGGGATTAGTGGTGCCAGTAGTTCAGGCTTCAATATGAGTAGCAACAATGCTGGTAGCCCTAGCTTCGCACAAACCAGTGTCTTAGATTTGATTGATAATGGTCAAGGTAATTCAGATGTGGTGATGCGAATGGAGAGCAGTTTGTTTAGTTCCACTTATGTCTGCATGTTTGTTATTTTTTATTTTAATGAAACCTTTCCTGTTGATTATCGTGAGTGAATATATATCATGAATGAATCAGATTATTTACTTTTCAGCTGTTATTTTGTATTGAAGAGCTAGTTTATTTGATTTTGTGTCTTTTTGACTAATATTGCTTTTTTACTGCATGCATGTTTTGGTGCTTTCAGATGCATAACAATAATGTACTAACTTCTATTCCTCATTACTAATTTTTTTCCCTATTTTCAGGCTTTACACACTAGTTTGCTTTCATCTGTTGTAGATTATTTATGTCAAAATGATTTGTACATGATTTAAAAACAACAGAATTTCTTATGTACAAAACACTGATTAATATTTGAATGAGATTTTTCACAATTGGATGAAAGTCTTCCAATAATCAATGCATGGCATGATACTGACATGTAGGCTTGTTAATTTTGTCCACCGTATTTGTAGATATTATAAGAATATAATATGTTAGATGACAAGTATTTTGAAGTTAGAATTGACATGTGTTATATTGTAGCAGTGGACCACCTGTAGTAAACAATTTAAAGATCTACTTACTTTTAGCCTGTGACGACATCATTAAAACTTGTTCGGTAACTCTCCCAATAAATGGCACCCACAGTTTATCAGCCAATTAATTTGTTCTCACATACATTGATCATTTTGTTCTATCTTATTCCAGTACCCACTCATGACCAAGCCTTACAACAGGTGGCGCTGTTGAAGAAGGAGCTGGCCGAGCTAAGAGCCAATCAGGCGCTGGCGGAGGACAAACATATCATGGCAAGCACGTCATTGGATCGGCAAGTGAGCAAGGCGCGGGGGATCATCCACAGCGTCAACGCCGAGGCAGATATTGAGAAGAGTGCACACAGGGAGACCATGGATGCCTTGGACGATAGTGAGAATTCAGTACGTGTTAATTAGGTGGCTTTTACTCCGTGATTTTTAATATTTTAATTTTGTCTTCAAGTTTGTAATAGCTTTTTAGCTGCAGTGCAATCAGGTCAATATAGATTTTAACATTAATTTACTTTGTATTAAACTTCATCTTCTTACATTTTGCAAACCAATGCTTACACAACCTGATGCAAGTTTTGTAAGGTTTGAATCCCCCCCCCCCTTTTTTTTTCTTTTAGATAAATTTGAAGCAGATATTTTAGTTTTGTTAGTTACTCTTTGACCACAGTCAAGGGATGGTGTAAATTTGACTCACTTTTGATATGAAATTGTTCAATTCACTCACAGGATCATTACAATCAGTAAGGTCATTGATATTTTGAAACTTAATAACGAAGAAGTCTAAAAGTGTGATTTATTCTTTTCAGTATCTCACCCTGCTCCGTGCTATAGCCAGTTCCCTTGAGATGGAGGAGGTCAAAGGGCTCCGTTCCATGTCCCACATTCCAAAAGATGAGCGCCGTAGATTGTATGATGATCGGGAAAAGTCATGTGAAATGCTGGCCAGTCGAATTAAAGTTTTGAAGGAAAGAATATCAAGAAAGGATGAACTTTTACAAACTTATGAAAGAGACTTAGCAAGGTTACGGCAAGCAGAGCAGTTGGCCGAGAAGAAGAATGCACAAGTAGAAAGTTTAACTGTGAGTAGAATTATAACAACATTTTTTCGAAAATAAACCATAGTCAGAGTCATAAAGGTCCTCTTCCACCCTTTCAAGGCCAATAATGACCAAGCATCCTATGTAAACATGGAGTGTGGTACACAAGAACTGTACTTTACTTTATATTATATATTTGAAAAGAAAATGATTAAAAATTGGTTTTGTTCCAGAATGATGTGATAAGTAAACTAGATGAGACTCAGTATCTGAGGGAGTCCCTGAACAGAACCAGAGACAGACTGGACCAGGAGAAGAGGCTCAACTCTGCAATAAAACAGAAAAAGGTGAGAATGAAGCAGATTTAATTCACTATTATGTTTTTTTTTTTTTTACTGAACAGAAAACCCTTTTGCAGACTGATGGTTTCCTATGAATCCAAATAGACTGCCTTCTAAATGACAAGGTCTAACTGTAAATCCAGTTACCATACTAGAAATTTTAAACTTTCAAAACTTTTTTTAAAGTTTACAAAGTTTAACCTTATCAGTAAAGAATCAACTTGTAATTAAATGGGTGGACATTAGTCTTCTTCAATTTGTCAGCTTTTTTCAAGAGATTATGACCTTGTCTATCATATCAACTGTACAGATGATATTGTAATCATGATAAGGCAAACACATTTTGCAACCAGACCCAAACTAAATTTCAAAAATTCAATAGCACATTTTCAGCATGGTATACTTCATAATTTTGTACGAGTTCTTCAAATTGAATGAATTTTCCACTAAGTTTTATTTTTCCCCCTTGTAGACCTACCACATGGAGAATGAGAAGCCAGAACCAAAGTGGTCCAAACACAGGTGTCCCCCAGATGACATCTTTGGCAAGGTAAGCTGTTGAATCCGTCACTCTGATATCCCAAAGGATGGACCTGATATTTCAAATGCCTGTGAGCTTTAATGAGGGTCTCATTCAAGGGAAAGGGGGGGGGGGATTGTGATCACAGTTCACAAGAAATTTTATTATTAATTCACAAATCACAGTAGGTTAAATCTTATTCATATCTCACTGATAATGTGTTCTGATATTCCTGAAAATCAGAAAAATCAGAAAGCAAGTGCTACATTTAATTCCTACAAGATAATCAACAAAAAGCATACAGCTGTCAGAAGAGGAGAGGCATTCTCTAGATTTGAACAAACAAAATTTTACAATTGGAGATATATAATTTGTTGAGAATTGTAGATTTATAATTCAGTTGTTGATTGTGTTAACTTTATAGTTTTGTGCTTTTGTTTAATATGCAGAAATAGCAGTTGGGTGTGAACCATTTTGTATATTTTTTGTATATGAACAGAAAGCAGCCAAAGAGAGAGCACACAGAGAAAAAGTAAAGAGGAAAAATTACGAGATGAGAGCTCTCAAAGGTGAACTTACGGAAAGGGACCGGGAGCTGGTCCAGGCCTCGAGGAGAATCCATGACTTAGAAACTAGTCTGGTGAGGGGAATTTTTGTCTTTAACTGACTAAGCCCAGATATATGATCATTTGTTTGGGCTTGTAATAGAGAGGGTGTCCTCTATTTACATGCTGTTAAAAGGAAAACGTTAAATATCGATATTCGAAATGTTTCTTTTTTCAAGATTTACACATTATTCAAGGAAAAAGTCTTCAAAATATTGATATTTGAAATTTGATAGGTATTTATTTTCTTCTGTGATAACCTGGCTACAAATCACACTGGAAAGGGTATCTTATTTGCCTTCTTTTTGTAAATTTTAGGGACTTGACAGTGAAGAGTTCGTGGATGTGGAGTAAACCAATGTAAAAGCATCTCAGCGACACACGCAAATAGGAATTTTGAAGAATTAGCATAGAATAAGAGAACTTACATATATAAAAACCATGCAGGCTCAGGGTCTGACTGGAGAGAAATATTGATGTTAAATATCAATTCTCCAACAGAGTATGACATTTTTTTCTCCATGATTTGTGTTTATATGATAAATATGACGCGCTTTGTTAAAAAATATCATCTTTTCTGTAAAAACAGCTGCTCATGCCTCAATTTTCACTGCAGTTTTAAGCAGGAGACAAATTCATGTTGCAGATATATTATCTTGTACATGAATCAAACCATTATGATTTGTGTGACAAACTGTATGTTACGAATCCATTGCATTTATAAACAAGCAAGAGTAGAGTGATATGGTAGTTTATTTTGTNAGCTGATTAATTTACTGGTCTCAGCGTGTTTGTATTGAGTCTGCCTTTCATTGGGTGAAGGTAGATAAAAAGTAAATATACTTACGGGGTGTTGCTTGGTGTCCGATTGTGTTTGTGCGATGGTGTCTGACTTTAGAGTCTGAGAGCCCACTGTTGGCATTGTAGATCCTTAATATAGTCAGGGGAAAACATTTTCGCTTCTATTCAGTCTGTGTTTGAACTCTTCAATTGATGCAGGATATAGATAGGTAAGGATAAGGTGGGGACTCTAGATATTACTTTATATCTTGTAGGAAGTACAGATATTCAGAATATTAGTATGCTATAGGAGTGTTTCAAGATATGACAGTAATCCAACTGCTGGTTATAGCTTTGAGATAAGATATTGCATTTTAAGTATAGATAAAGTTTGTTGGTATATACATTTGTACATATGTATGTTTTAAAGCAAGGTTCAGCTTCAGATTTTAAGTCTAAGTTTGGGTCTGATTTTATATTCTGGTAAAGTGTAAAATACAAAGGTGATTCATCTAGAGAAGACAGATATTTTGCATTCACCTGAATTAATATAAATAAATCTAAAATATAAACATGAGGCAGCCCATGTAATTATAATTCAATTTGCAAATTTCTTAGAGTAGAGACAGAGAAAAATTAATTACAAAATGAATTTTTTTTTTTTTTGAAGTCTACATTTTGCTGGTATTTTGTGGTGAATTTCTTAATTTTTTTTTCTTTTTTTGACTAAATATTGAATTGTTTGCCTCTGCAGGCTGAGCTTCGTGACCAGCTAGCAAAACTAGAAGCGGAGAAGAATGCCGAGATCGCAGAACTAAAACTGTCCCGCAGCGACGCAGCAGAGGAGTCAAACAAGGAGGTGACGAGTTACAAGGAACAGATCAAGCAGCACTCCGTCACCATCTGTGCCATGGAGGAAAGGGTGATGAAACTGACCAAGAAGAACAAGGACTACCAGACTGAAGTGACCGCTCTGAAACAACAGATTCAAGGTTGGTGGGCATTTTGTTACAATTTGACCACAGTGGTCAAGTTTTGTCACCTTTGTGGCATTGAATAATTGATAATGAAGACTACTTCTTCCCTGACTAGTATATACTTTAAGTTACTTAAAAGGAAAAAAAGAGTGAAAGGTAGATCGATCCAGTCTGGTGGCTTATAATGTTAGTTGGAGAAAGCTTAATATGATACATTAATTATTTGATATAAATATTTGTGCTGTACAACATTCCTTACTCCTGACCAATAGGTACATACTTTATTATTTTATGTCTACAAACAAACCTTCACATAATCTAAACCACCATTAGATGTCATCAAACTTGATAATCTTTTATTTAATTATAAATAACACCCGTATCACACCATTATATCGAAAAACTGCATCTGATTTAAAGGAGATATGAAAGGGTTGGGACTTGAAGTAATTGGGATGTTGGCATTAAAATAATTGTCAGTTATTGTATTGTGCCGAGATGCAATTGCTTGTTGGTTATATATATATATATATATATATATATATATATATATATATATATATATATTATTTTATTTTATTTTATTTTTTTTTTATCAATTTGATAAGTAGTGCATTTGTGTCATTTTAGAATTGAAGAGCAGGCCCCCACCTCAGCCAAAAGTTGTGAGACCGAAGACGCCGCCCAAGCATACAGTGGTGGTAGAACCAGGCCCTGATGTGGCAGCTTTGGAGCAAATACTACTGGCTGTTAGGTAAGACCCCCACTTTCTCTTTCTTCTTCTTCTTCTTCTCCTCTCTCTCTCTCTCTCTCTCTCTCTCATTCTTTCAAATAATATCCAAGTAGTATATAAGTATGTTTGTAAATATGTGTTATGCTAACCAAACCCAGTTTTAGAAAGCTGTAAAATTTTATGCGATATTTAAAAGAGGACAGTACTATTTGTTTTCGCTCTTAATTTCTTGTTCTCAGAAGTGTTTTGCTGTGATAGTAATTTGAAAATATTCTTTATTTTGTAATATTGGTGATATTTTCTAACTTATGGATGGATTTTTGGATTCTTCTGTTATTAGGCGAGAAAACCAGGAATTGAAGAGCAAGCTTCAGGAGCAGCAAGATGTCATCCTTGCTCTCAGGCGAGACTTGGCAGGTGCTTCAGCCAGGATGTCAGACATGACAGGTAAGTCCAAATTGCAATGTCAGCCAGGACAGGTGAGTCCAAATCAGAATGTCAGCCATGAAAAGTGAGGTCAACTAAAAATGTCAGAGGTGACGTGAGCCCAAATTCAAACGTCAACTTTGCCCAGCGAGTCTAAATTAGAGTGTCAGCCAATGACAGGTAACTAGAGATAAAATAGCATATATATATCAGTAAACTCGTTAGCGTATGAGAGTGCGTAATTACGCGTTGTTTTGCTGTTTTTACGCATTGGCTGGAGCCCCAGCGCGTACGAATACGCACACCTTTGGCTTTGAAGATCGGCGAAGTTGACCAGTCCGTTGACTGTTGACAGTCAGACTCATGTTGAAAATGTCATAATTGATTCCCAAGTGTCTCATTTTTTTCTTAAGATATTTGAATTACCCGACTAAAACATGCTTCTTCTTTCACTGACCCGCAGAGGATGACGTAATCTTCTCTGATTGGTCATAATATGCAAGTTTTAGGTCAAAGCACGTGGTATGAACAACGATGAAATGATCGTTTTTTATTCACATAATTGTTCAACATTTTAATTGAGCAACCATACGTTTAGGACCAATTTAAATCACTCGCCCAGACCAAATACTTTAGGCCAGTAACCCTTGTGACTTTTGTAGTTTTAGTCGTCAGAATAAATTTTTAGTCGCATTTGACGAGCGGGCGACCGGGAATTTCCAGCTCTGCTGATTATCNTACACCTTGATGAGCATTTTTTAATTTTACCCCTTCATTTTGAAAATTACCCCTTCTTTTTTTGGGCAAGGGGTACGGTACTCCCTTAGAAAAATCTTACCGAGTGCACTGTATATATAGGTGTAAAGGACTAAAGAATATTTAAATTAGAGACCAACACAAGACATTTAGTTATTTATAAGTATGTGGTAATCACAGTGAATGTTATTCAAAAGAATAATAATAACCTCTTTACCACTATTAACAATACAATAAAATATCCCATTTTGCCATTCCAGGTGAATTAAGTGAGGCTCAGAAGGAGAAACTGGAGCAGAGCACAGTGCAGGTCCAACAGAAGCAAAGAGAACTGGACGAGGAAAGACAAAAACTAGCCAAAATGTCTGCCATTGTGGACAGTCAGAAAAAGGAAATACAGGACTACTCCAATGAATTGAGGTAATTTTGTGTGGAATGGATGATAAACTGATATGCCATTGTTTTGTTTAGTTAGAATAAATAAGTTGAAATTATTAAAATGTGTGTGATGGGTGATGCTTCAAGTGATACAAAGGAGGATATTTGTATTCAGAGGCTGGCTTGTTTACACAAGTATAACTGTACTTAAGGTTGAAATCTGTAATAAAAAGACAAAATGTGCTTATTTAACTGAAAAAAACCCTTTGAAGCTTACAGCACATTATATAAATATATATAAAGATACTTAAATAGATAAATATTAAATACTAATGAATTAAATAAAATAAAAAAATTAAGAAAACAAATGACAAGCTACTTGCTAATAATATCTGTGGCCCAACAAAGGAAACAAAGAAAGTAAATTAACAAATGACAAGCTATCCCCCAATAATACAATAATGTGCATAAAAATGTGACAGTGCAAGTTACGGCACTTCATTTGAAATAATACGTTGGCCACACCCCAATATAAACTCCTACAAAATGCACTCTCTCTTTCTTTCTCTCTCTCTCTCTCTCTTTCTCTCTATATATAAATACAACACCTCCAAATTTAATCAAAGTGGTGACAATGCAGCATGACAGCTGAGAATAAAGCGTGAGCAAAACATTGAACTTACAATTTGAAGTCCTCTTTTGCACCACTGAATCTTTCTAACTTCTTACTTCTGTGATGTCTGCTGTGTGAATGAACTACTCACTCTCAGAGGCACTGCCTATTACTGACTGTGGGGGTGTGGGTTGTACCAAGTGATTTAAGCAAAGGGGTGTAAGGTTGTCTGGCCTTTACTATCTCAATTACAATGATGGCGGTGATGGGATGAAACGTGGTGGCAATTTGTCCTGAAACAATTCATTAAGAATAATATAGCAGTGTGAATATAAATGGTTATTGCTTCTATGCTAAAACTGTGTGTGTGTGTGTGTGTGTGTGTGTGTGTGTGTGTGTGTGTGAGGAAATTTCAAAAAAGAAAAAATATATGAGTATTTCAAAATTCATAACTTTTAAATTAATGTAATTCCAGCAAACTGAAGTCCCAGTTGAACAAGTTGAAGACAGAAACAAGTGATAAAAACTCTCAGGTCCAGGAGCTGGAGCTGGCTCTGACCAGGGAAAAAGATGAACAAAAGAAACAGCTCAGCTTGGTAGAGGAAGAGGTAAAAATTGTCCTCCTTTTATTTATTAATTTGCTTTTTTTCTTGCTCAAATTTTTTCTCGGGTTTGGAGAAATGTTTTCATTTGAGGCAACTTTTAAAAAGCAGAACAATTAAGATTAAGAAGACTCTGGTCCCTTCAATGCAGTGTTGGCGTGCTTTAACACTTGTAATCTTGTTGTCAAGTTGCATTTTCTTTATTCTTAATTTCCAGGGTCGCATAACCTCAGAGCTGACATCCTATGGTGCTCAATGTAGAGGTGAGAGACATGAGCAGGTCATCGCCAGGCAGAGAGAGGCTCTGGCAGAGCTCAGGCAGCGCATCAAATCTCTGGAACAAGTCAGACCACCAGGTGGGGCTGGAAGCATGAATGTTCGTTCATGTGTCCTGGGTTTATAATTCTTTTGATTATTGAACTGGGCACTTGAAAGCAGTCAGTAATTGTTCCTTAAATTAACATTTTTATACATATACATGCAAAATTGTCAAATTTTTATCTATTTGAGACAATTATGAATGCTATTTTGAGCCCAGTTTTATCTATTCATATCGACTAATATGAAGTAACAATTAGAATTAAAAAAAAAAAACAGCTAACTTAAGTGTGTTGTTTATTACTAATGAATGTGTTGAAATTAATTCTTTAAATACAACAAAGAACCTGGTTACAATTTCAGTTTTCAGTTTTGCATATTTGTAAAATCCTAGACCTACTCTTTTTTTAATAACATGCCATCACTAACATCTAGCAGCATAATCATGCTCTGCCCTTTTCAGGGCCCCCGTTTTACACTTAAGTCTTTATTTTCAATCCAAGTGCTGTTGGCTTTGACTCTGTTTTTGCTTAAGTGACAAAATGGCTTTTAAACATTTTATTTTCCAGTTAAGGCTGAATACTTGCTGAAGCACACCCAAATGAGCATCCTGCATTTTCTTTTGTGTTAAATACGCATGCTAATTCTTGCTTATTTTGTTTTTAGTGAAAGGGCAATTCAAACATATCAACTTTATTACTTATTTTCATATGCCATCTTAAAGTCATTTTGTTTGTTTCTCTGACATCTGTTTCTTATATTATAGGATTATTTGGGCAAGCTGAGTGTACTGTTTTTTCATTTGTCTTGAAAAAGTATTACAAAACAGTACTTTACAGTAATTTTGTGTATCTTGCTGGCTGTGCTTTTTAGTTTTCACCTTTTGCCTTTTTTACAGCTATGGCAGACTGAAAACTTTATATGTGTCATATGAAACTTTTATGTGTCTTTATGTATCTTCATGATGTTTAGGTCTAGCCTTTGGGTATGATCCATATGATATCTGGCTAATCTATCTAGTCTTGCTGATTCATCTGAATATCTTTAGTATATGGGTCTCTACCTCCTTTGAACACAGCTTTCAATGTTTTTTTTTTCTTCATGAGTTCCTGTTTAATTTACCTGAATCAGTTAACTCTTATTATAATAATGGAAAATCTGTTCTTTACCTTGTTTCCCAACCCAAATTTTCCATCAAGCTTTTTGTGTTTGATTCACTGCCTGCATGACCCTTCACTCTATTTTTTCTCTTATATGTAACATTCATATGGATAGATCTTTTACCAGTCTTAAACCAGTTTGATTGACAGCCATCTAGATTAAAAAATAAATAAATAAAAACAAAGAAACAAGTACAAACAATCATGAAGCTATTATTAATACTTTTTTTGGTTGGAGACAGTATTATCACCTTGCCTGATGATATCAGTTACACTGGTTTAGAACTGGCTTCACTTTCTCCATAAGACCAATCCTTTTTGACCCAATCATCAAACATCAATAATTCCCCTAACACTTATCATTATTTTTTTTACTAATCCCTCTGAACCCAGGATTTGGCATGGCACCCCCGAGCACATGTGGCAGTGGTCTAGGTATGAACATCACTAAAGTGCCCTCCAGTCCCGCCCTGACTTCCTACCCTGCTGGTAACTCTGGTGGGTCAGCAGGTCAGAAGCGCGTTGGTTATGGAGGTGGTGGTGGTGCTAGTAGCAACAGCCCATTACCCATTGGAAGTAGCAGTAGTATACACACAACACATCAGAATAGATCCCAGATGCAAAATGGCCATGGAGGGGGTATGGCTGGCATTCTGGTTGGGGGTGGGGGTGCGGGTGGATACGGTGGGAGAAATAGCCCCAAGAACCCCACCCCTCCCATCGGAAACGGCCCTAATTCTGCTGCTGGTATGCACCGCTCCGTGTCTTACGGTGGGTCTACTGTCAATGGTTATGGTGGTGGCAGCGGTGGGATGAGTAGTGGTTATGGCGGTGGCAGCAGTGGGATGAGTAGTGGTTTTGGCGGTGGCAGCGGTGGGATTAGTGGTGCCAGTAGTTCAGGCTTCAATATGAGTAGCAACAATGCTGGTAGCCCTAGCTTCGCACAAACCAGTGTCTTAGATTTGATTGATAATGGCCAAGGTAATTCATATGTAGTGATGCGAATGGAGAGCAGTTTGTTTAGTTCCACTTATGTCTGCATGTTTGTTATTTTTGATTTTAATGAAAATTTTCCTGTTGATTATCGTGAGTGAATATCAGGAATAAATCAGATTGTTTACTTTTCAGCTGTTATTTTGTATTGAAAAGATTGTTTGTTTGATTTTTTATCTTTTTGACTTATATTGCTTTTTTTACTGCATGCATGTTTTGGTGCTTTCAGATGCATAACAATTAATGTACTAACTTCTTTTCCTCATTACTAATTTTTTTTCCCTATTTTCAGGCTTTACACACTAGTTTGCTTTCATCCATTTGTAGATTATTTGTGTCAAAATGATTAGCACATCGTTTAGTTAAGAACAGCAGAATTTCGTATGGACAAAACACTGATGAATATTTGAAAAAGATTTTTCACGATGAAAGTCTTCCAACAATCAATGCATGGCATGATACTGACATGTAGGCTTGTTAACTTTTTCACCATATTTGTACATATTAAATGAATATAATATGTTAGATGACAAGTATTTTGAAGTTAGAATTGACATGTGATGTATTGTAGCAGTGGACCACCTGTAGTAAACAATTTAAAGATCTACTTACTTTTGGCCTGTGACAACATCATTGAAACTTGTTCGGTATTGGTTTAACTGTCCCAATAAAAAGCACCCACGGTTTATCAGTCAATTAATTTTTTCTCACATACATTGATCAGTTTGTTCTACCTTATTCCAGTACCCACTCATGACCAAGCCTTACAGCAGGTGGCGCTGTTGAAGAAGGAGCTGGCCGAGCTAAGAGCCAATCAGGCGCTGGCGGAGGACAAACATATCATGGCAAGCACGTCATTGGATCGGCAAGTGAGCAAGGCGCGGGGGATCATCCACAGCGTCAACGCCGAGGCAGATATTGAGAAGAGTGCACACAGGGAGACCATGGATGCCTTGGACGATAGTGAGAATTCAGTACGTGTTAATTAGGTGGCTTTTACTCCGTGATTTTTAATATTTTAATTTTGTCTTCAAGTTTGTAATAGCTTTTAGCTGCAGTGCAATCAGGTCAATATAGATTTTAACATTAATTTACTTTGTATTAAACTTCATCTTCTTACATTTTGCAAACCAATGCTTACACAACCTGCTGCAAGTTTTGTTAGGTTTGAATTCCCCCCCCCCTTTTTTTTTTAGATAAATTAGATGCAGATATTTTAGTTTTGTTAGTTACTCTTTGACCACAGTCAAGGGATGGTGTAAATTTGACTCACTTTTGATATGCAATTGTTCAATTCACTCACAGAATCATAAGAATCAGTAAGGTCATTAATATTTTGAAACCTAATAATGAAGCAGTCTAAAAGTGTGATTTATTCCTTTCAGTATCTCACCCTGCTCCGTGCTATAGCCAGTTCCCTTGAGATGGAGGAGGTCAAAGGGCTCCGTTCCATGTCCCACATTCCAAAAGATGAGCGCCGTAGATTGTATGATGATCGGGAAAAGTCATGTGAAATGCTGGCCAGTCGAATTAAAGTTTTGAAGGAAAGAATATCAAGAAAGGATGAACTTTTACAAACTTATGAAAGAGACTTAGCAAGGTTACGGCAAGCAGAGCAGTTGGCTGAGAAGAAGAACGCACAAGTAGAAAGTTTAACTGTGAGTAGAAGTATAACACAACATTTTTTCTAGAATAAACCATAGTCAGAGTCATAAAGGTCCTCTTCCACCCTTTATCCATATTTTTTTAATAGGTTTGGTCTTGTGAACAATGTATTATCTACGTGATAAATCTTTTAAAAATTTAATGTAAACCTGCCTCATACGGCAGCTGGGCTGTATCCTCCCCAGGGAGGGGAGAGTGCCAACAACCAGTCTGTATCAAGGCCAAAAATGACCAAACATCTAATATAAACTGCTCTAAGATGCACATGGAGTGCAGTACACAAGAACTGTTCCTTATTTTTATTACTATTATACTTGAAAACAAAGTGGTTAAAACATTGGTTTTGTTGCAGAATGATGTGATAAGTAAACTAGATGAGACTCAGTATCTGAGGGAGTCCCTGAACAGAACCAGAGACAGACTGGACCAGGAGAAGAGGCTCAACTCTGCAATAAAACAGAAAAAGGTGAGATTGAAGCAGACTTAATTTACTATTATGTACTATTATGACTGAATGGAAAATCATTTTGCAGACAGATGGTTTCCCATGAACCCAAGTAGTCTGCCTTCTAAATGACAAGGTTCAAATGTAAATTCAGTTACCATACTAGAAAGCTTAAACTTTCTAAACTTTTTTTAAAAAGTTTACAAAGTTTAACCTTATCAGTAAAGAATCAACTTGTAATTAAATGGGTGGACATTAGTCTTCTTCAATTTGTCAGCTTTTTTCAAGAGATTATGACCTTGTCTATCATATCAGCTGTACAGATGATATTGTAATCATGATAAGATAAATGCATTTTGTTACCAAACCCAAACTTAATTTAGAAAATTCAATAGAACGTTTCCAGAATGGTATGCTTCATAATTTTGTACAAGTTCTTCAAAGTGAGTGAAGTTTCCAGTAATTTGTATTTATCCCTCTTCCAGACCTACCACATGGAGAACGAGAAACCAGAACCAAAGTGGTCCAAACACAGGTGTCCCCCAGACGACATCTTTGGAAAGGTAAACTGTCAATCCATCACCCTGATATTCAGAGGGGTGAACCCCCATTTTTCAGATGCTTGTGAGCTTAATGAGAACCTCATTTAGGGGAGGGGGGGGTGTAGTGATCACAGTTTATAGGAAATTTTATTATTAATTTACAAATCACAGTAGATAAAATTTTATTCATATCTCACTGATAATGTTTGCCGAAAATCCTGAAACTCCTGAAAAATAAGAGCGCATTCTCAACGAATTAAGCCAGGCTTTACAAAGCCGGTGACCTAAAAATGGCAGACGTACATGAAAGAAAAACCGCCTAATCTTTTAATAGTCTCTCCGCCTCTCACACGCCTCCCCACACGTCGTCCCTGCGGGGTACAGTAATTAAATCTCGGCTCCGAACATTAATATTTCCGTGAATATCTCTGGTGATATTATCTCCGTAGATAGTCGATTCATTGCTGCTCTACGGGCCAAATTATTCCTTTTTCGTCTCTGTTTTCAAAGATAATAGAACAGAAGAGCTTTTTTCCTTCGATCGCCTTCAGCCGCCATGCCTTCTTCACCACGAGTTTAACTGATGAGCATGCGCACTTAATATTTCTCAGGTAGCTTCCGCATGGCGAACGGAGCCGAGATTTAATTACTGTACCCCGCAGGGACGACGTGTGGGGAGGCGGAGAGACTATTAAAAGATTAGGCAGTTTTTCTTTCATGTACGTCCGCCATTTTTAGGTCACCGGCTTTGTAAAGCCTGGCTTAATTCGTTGAGAATGCGCTCTAAGAAAGCAAGTGATACATGTAATCCTACAAGATAATCAACACAAAGCATACAGCTGTCAGAAGAGGAGAGGCATTCTCTAGATTTAAACAGACTTTTACATTTGAAAATTTTACAGTTGGAGATATACAATTTGTTTAGAATTGTAGATTTATAATTCAGTTGTTGATTGTGTTAACTTTATAGTTTTGTGCTTTTGTTTAATATGCAGAAATAGCAGTTGGGTGTGAACCATTTTGTATATTTTTTGTATATGAACAGAAAGCAGCCAAAGAGAGAGCACACAGAGAAAAAGTAAAGAGGAAAAATTACGAGATGAGAGCTCTCAAAGGTGAACTTACAGAAAGGGATCGAGAGCTGGTTCAGGCCTCGAGAAGAATACATGACTTAGAAACTAGTCTGGTAAGGAGAAATATTGTTTTTAACTGATTAAAGCCAGATATATAATCATTTGTTTTGGGCTTGTAATAGAGTGGGTGCCCTCTATTTACATGCTGTTCAAAGGAAAACATTAAATATCGATATACAAAATGTTTTTTGTTCAAGATTTACACATTTTTCAAAGAAAAAGTCTCCAAAATATTGATATTTGAAATTTGATAGGTATTTATTTTCTTTTCTGATAACCTGGCTACAAATCACACTGGAAAGGGTATCTTATTTGCTTTCTTTTTGTAAATTTTAGGGCCTTGACAGTGAAGAGTTCGTGGATGTGGAGTAAACCAATGTAAAAGCATCTCAGCGACACACGCAAATAGGAATTTTGAAGAATTAGCATAGAATAAGAGAACTTACATATATAAAAACCATGCAGGCTCAGGGTCTGACTGGAGAGAAATATTGATGTTAAATATCAATTCTCCAACAGAGTATGACATTTTTTTCTCCATGATTTGTGTTTATATGATAAATATGACGCGCTTTGTTAAAAAATATCATCTTTTCTGAAGAAACAGCTTCTCATGCCTCAATTTTCACTGCAGTTTTAAGCAGGAGACAAATTCATGTTGCAGATATATTATCTTGTACATGAATCAAACCATTATGATTTGTGTGACAAACTGTATACTACGAATCAATTGCATTTATAAACAAGCAAGAGTAGAGTGATATGGTAGTATTTTTTATGCTTTTGCATTTTGCAAGCCAAATGATCAAAATTGTTTAGTAAAAATAGTAGCCGCAGTGGATGCTGATGTATGATACAGTATCTGTACTTACTTATTTTAACAGCATTCTGATTAAGCCAATTTTTTTTTTTTTTTTTTGCTACACCTCATTCCGTCCTCTGTATTATTTTATTTTCATCATCTGTTGAGCTGTAAAACAAAGTGGGCCACACAAGTGATCTCATGTCATTATTTTTTTTACTGCAAGTTTCAAGTTGATGGTCATTTAAAGCTTAATTGACAAAGAGATAAGCTGCTTAAAATGAGAGGAATATGGTTTGCCTGTATTTGTTGTATTAGTTTGCATTTAGTACATGCTTTTTTAAAATTGTTTTTGTACCTAAAAAGACAATTTGATCTTTTGCTGAATAATGTGATTTGGAGATCATTTTTTTTATGAAAGACGGTAAATGTGCAATATAAACATCTATACCGCACTGTACATTTATTTTCTCACTCCAGCATTTTTTATACAAATTGTTAAATGTATTGAGAGATATTTACACCAACTATTCATTTTTCTGACATTTATGAAAGATGAAATTTATTGTAAATTAGTTATTTTATGAAAAAAAATCACACATGTTCAGTAATATTTTTAGCCTTTAAACAAATATTCAGTTTTACCGTCCTAAATAAATTTTGTAATTAAGATTTCACTTTAAAGAAATAATAAATATCTATGTATTCTTTTTTTATTATTTTTATTTATTTTAAAGCTCTTTATACTTTCTTTCTTTTACTCTGTCCAAAATAAAAATGGACAACTATGAATATTTCTTTATCTTTAACAACTTATGTGCTACTCTAACAGGAGACTTTAAATTACTTCACCCAGAAATGTCTCGTATCGTGTAAAAAATAAACAATTACAAATAAAATGAATTTTAAATAAAAATTGCTTAATATTCTAGTAAACAAAATTAACATATGATAATTTTCCAAAGTAATTTGCAATAGACAACTTGAGTCATATTTTTAAACTGACAATTTACGGACACAAGACTGCTTTTCTCTTGCTAACAAAAAATAAATTCCCTCCTATGTTATACACACAGTACGTCTAACATGCTGAATTTTTTTAAAACAGATACGTATTTAGACCCTTATCCACATCTCTACACTAAATATATTTTTGTATACTTACACCATGAACCAAAAACGTAAAAACATAGATGTACAGAATGTATGATCAAGTCACCTCCCCCACATAAAGGAAATTAAAGAACTGGCTACCATTAAACAAGGTAGGTTTTGCCAATCATCAACAACAACTGTATTATGAAATGCCATCATGGCCAATGACAATGTGAAAACAAATGCAATTATTCCCAAAGAGTTCAACTTTTGATTATGAAAATTATATATGAGTGACCTTGCACTTTTTGGGACTGGAAGATCTGCAGTCTACATTATGTTTATTTATTGCCAATTTATCAATGATTTAACACAAAAATATTAGTTAATATGTCAAAAACAAGTGGCCCCTCCACCCTTTTAGCTTGGAAAGGAAAAATACTGACATTAAGCACACAATTCTCCATTTGCATTTAAGGCTGAATAGTAGCCATACATGTGACCATCTTAAAAATAAAACAAAAATCTAAACAATGTGAAAATACTTATATGTTGATATATCCAAATAACTGTATTTTACTAGCATTTCAGAAAATACTAAAAATAGGGCCACTGACAATGATCAATTTTTGCCCTGTAACTACACTTAAATCAAAGTTCGAGCAGGAAACAGTAGATCCTGTCATGCTCTACCATGTACTACAGTAACGACACGCACAAATGCAATTCATTAACCAACTGTTGTTTAAGTCAGATTAAGAACTTGCCTTGCCAATTAAATTGGATTCCTTTATTTTGTGCAAAGCTCCATTGGTTGTCTTTATAATCTATTTCATAATATCTAAATGCACTGGAAAAGCCCTACTAATTTGGCATACACATCAACCTTTTCCACAAGCTCAGCTGTATTCTTAGCTTATCTAAGGGAGATGCAATCCCAGTGGTTGCAAAATAATAATAACAATAATAGTATGTAAATGACAATACATATCAGACAAAAAAGAGAATTCTCATCCAAATATGTTTCCCCAGAGAGAGAGAGAGAGAGAGAGAGAGAGAGAGAGAGAAATCCCCACACCAATTTTATGCTGAAGAAATTTATCCACACACTATTTTAATGCTGAAACTGTTTATCTTAACATCCTGTGGTTAAATGACCTCAATTAATCTTTGTAAACAAAACTGCCAAGTCCATTGGCTTCATGAAGAACAAGATACTTGCAGGCGAGATCTAGCCATCTGATGGATAAGGCAAACTAACGACGCCACAAAAAGGTGTAGATAAAGGTTTGTTATTACTATTATTACTATTGTTAAGAACTCCTTTCCCTGTTAAGCACATGATAAGGATGAATCAAAACTCATCATGGAAATTTCTTCCAGCATTTATCATTTTGCTGCCATAGAAGAGATCGGGGTTGTTTAGCACTTCTCTGAGAGAAAGTTTTCCATCTTTATCTCCATCGGCTATTGCAATCAAGTTCTCCGCTTCTTGTCTGGCATTGTTAGGATTTTTAGGATTAACATATTCCTAGAAGAAGAAAACAATGCTTAGTATGAAGAGTTATGAATTTCCAACTGATGACAAAAGCATCATATACAATTTTTAGGCTTTCGCCCACATTCTTGGGCTGTTTGAGTCACATGATGCAGATTCTCAGGTGTAAGAGTCATATGACAGTCATATAACAAGATGTTTAAAGGAGCCGAAAGACAGTTATAGAATTTAGAAAATAAAAGTAGAGTATGACTGACATGCTAAAGTTTAAATAACATTTGTCTTTTGCTGATCGTTTGGCTTTTCAGATATCAGTTCTAAATTTCTAAAGTTCTGGAAAGTTTTCAACTTGATTTAAAGTAGGTATCTCGTTAATCTACCATGTTCTTTTGTCTTTCTTCTTACTCACAAATAATTCATCTTTGGTCAGATTGCCATCTTTATTAATGTCAATAACTTCGCGGAATGCAGTTTTCCTCTCGTCCTGCCATCTTTTATCTGACGCCTTCCATTCATCTGTGTTAAATTGTTCGTCCAGTTCCCCACCAGGGAGCGCTGCAAACTCATCTATGCTGAGTATGCCATCGCTGTTGCTATCTGAAAATAAAATTAAGAAATGCATGGTTTATCTGTAAACTCTAATATAATGAAAATAAATAATGATAATAATAATATTTTAAATAGTAATCTTCCTTTCTTGAGTCTGAAAGCTAGTAAAAAAAGTTTTAAAAAGTTTCATCAGTTTGGTAGATTATTTTTCTTTCATTTGTAACTAACTGCAAAACAAAGTATTTTTACCAACATATAATAATACTGTCAACAGACTCAACACCGACACAACTATGAATATACTACAAGAGAAACATTCAGAACACACTACCTGGCCCCCTTCCCAAATCTTAAAGGGATAATAACTCTTCATATGAGATCTATATTTCACAATAAAAACATTGTGAATAACTCATAGAAATATAATATATTCTGTTTTACCACAAAACCGGCAGTTATAGCTATTACTCTGATATCTGAGCTTGTCTTTAGACGACGTAACCTCCATTGATGGCTATACTCTGTTAAAATCTCTTAAGAGATTTTAACAAAAAACCAAACTTTTTAGAAAAAAACCAGGGCTAACTTTTAATGTAAAAATGGATTCATTAACCATTGGTAAGTATGAGAAAATTGTTGTTCACTCCAGGAAAATTCATTTTTTGGCCGAAACGAAGAGTTATTATCACTTTAAGAACTCACCCAAATTCTCCAAGATATCTCGAACCATGTTTTCGGTCATTTTTTTGCTCCCCTCAGGATGCATAAAGTTTTTGAACTCCTCCAGCGTCAGTTTGTTGTCGTTGTCATCATCAGCCTCGGCCCACCGAAACTTGTTTGTAATCAGCTGATCACGGTCTTTTTAAAAAATATGAAATAATTTTGACTGAATAACATAAAAAAACAAGCTGATGTATAGGTTGATAAAAAAAAATCAACAAAAAAATATCCACAACTAGTTGTACATTATTAAAAAGATAACATAAAAATATTACACGAGCAGCTCTGAAAGTCCATAAGAAAGTAGGTAAAAACTTAATCAAAAAGAAAATTCAATGGGCAAGAGCAACATATTAACTCTGTCAGTCTCTTGAAATAACAACTGAGCACCATATTAAATAAGGGTGACATTTAGCAAACTGCCACTGTGATAGGTGAAACCATCTTTTGACCAAATTCTCTTCATGATCATCTAGTTTGTGTGCAATGGCTGCTTTTCGAAGATCCCAAACAACCAATAAATAAATAAATAAATAAATAAAATAATAATAAAAATAATGATAATTTTTTAGCTTTGCCCTGTAATACAGGCATATCTACTACTCTTTCTCATCCCACACTTGACTTTTACTCAGATTTAGGATCTTACGTTCGCTCTCCACTCCTTGCATTGCCTTCTCGGGATCTCTGGCCTTGACCTCAGCATCTGCTCGCTTCCAATTCAAAGCCACCAAGAACTCTGTGAGGAATTCCTCCCAGGCTATCTGTCCTGAAAGAACATGTACTTCAACTTATAGCCTGCTAAATAACTGATTAAAAAAGACTATTGCACATAATGATAATAATTATTATTACTATTATTATCATAATATTCAACAGTCCCGAAAGAACATTTACTTCAACTTCTAACCTGCCAAATTATTGATTAATAATCACTATTGCACAAAATAATAATCAAAAATATAATAATAATAATAATAATTTTTTTCACCATTATATTCAGCAGACCTAAAAGAGCACTTATTCAACTTATTGGCAGCTGAAATACTCATACTCATAAATTGTAAACTTATAATAAATAATTGTTAACATTATTATAACAGAAGAAAAATGCATGATGCTCCCCACAAAAAATATTCACATTCTGAGAACAGTTGAAGAATTTAGTCTTCCCTATAGATGTATTTGCCCAGTACACTCAAAAGACACAGTTACTCATTAAACACAATGCAATATTTATGACAGGCAATTCAAATAACCAAACATTCCTCTCATTCAATATTTACTATGAGATGAAAAAGATACTGCACATACTCATTCAATGACAAATATATTGTATATGAAAGACAATCAAATATTTACCATCTGAATTCAAAGATAATACATTCATTCAAAGCCATATAAATGGTGTATATATTGCTATCAATTGAGAATGGTGCACCTAGAATGTGACATTCATATAACTCACCATCATTGTCAAGGTCTAAAGATTTGAAAATATCAGCATTCTCCTTTGCTGCCTGACCAAAGTGTTCTTCAATCTTCTTGACTATCCAATCTTGAATTTCCTTCTGGTCTATGAACTCATCTGTGTTTGTATCTACTCTGTGAAAGACAAAAATACAGTAATTTTTTTAAATTTATTTTCTTTTTTTATTTTTAATATAAAAAGCTCAATAATCATATTGTTAGAAGATTTCACAAAATCATTTGCAGTTATCAAAAGTAAAATAAAAACTTATGTTTATCTTACAAAAAATTAATATAAATGTATACATTTCCTCCTCTCAACAGTAATGACACAAAATCATATTTAAAAACAAGTTTATAATTATGAGAACAACTTACATGTGAAATATCCCAGTTAGCCTCTTAGCTTTTTCTTCAGGGGTATCTTTTTCCATTTCTTCGTGTTCACCGAGCAGAACCTCTTTTTTATAATCACGGTTAAGATGTCCATCTTGCTCCATTTTTACAGCATCAAGATGATCTGGGGGTTTAAGTTTCTTTACTGAGAGTTTGACATCAGGGGCTTTCCCATATTCCAACATCCCACCATCCCCCTTTTTATTTTCATGCCCTTCACCAACCTTGACATCAATGTTCTTTGCCTCTGCATCAATGTCCCTGACCTTGGAATCAACAACCTTGACCTTAGGATCAGCAACCTTGACCTTGAGATCAGAATTTGGTTGGCTGTCCTTTTGAGATGCAACTGGCAGCTGTGGTGGATTGGCTGGACTCTGCTTTTCTACAATCTTTTGCTGCTCACCCCTATTCCTCCTTACATTACTGGGGACAATGGGAAGTGTCCATATTGCATTAGGAATGATCACAGTAATACATAACACCAAGGTGAAATGTCTGGACAGATCACAGTTAAACAACATCTTCCTGCTTCTTGACTGTATGACCCTGAAAATAGTAAAAAAAAAAAAAAAGGGGGGGGGGGCAATTAACACTGATGCCATGGTAAATAAACCTCAAATTTAAACAAAATGAATTCATAATTTATCTCTAAACAGCATTTTGTTAGTTTGAAACTGGGTAATTGTAACTTCAGTTATTCTGAAAATCTGTCCATGCAGTCATTGACTGGTAGAAGATACTGTTAACGAGTAATTTAAGAAATATCTATCTGTAAAATCTCCAACCTTGAGCTAGATAAAACACAAAACGTACACCCATTACCAGGCGAAGAGGCATATTTTTCGTCTGTATTACTGGTTTTAAATAAAGCGATGCTGATACGTATGGTGATAATGTTATAATGAGGGTACACAAGCAGCAGCAGCAGTCGAGAGTAAGTTCCAACTTTGTTTTTCACGTCCAAGTTAGTTCGTAAATAAGTAAACTTACAAAAACAAAGGGATGTTTGTGATACGATAAACAGGATGTTATTAAAATATGTCACTCATGCATATGGCATACAAATAAGTAACAATACCATAGACTACCTTTTTTAGCGCGTTGTCAGCAAGACTTCGTCATCGAGTGTTCTACCTGCATCGTTGATCTTCTTCAGCTAACTGAGTCAAGGCCATTCTACAATGAATATACCGCCCAACCACCGCTACCGCTGGAGACCGGGGATACGCTATTAGAGGTCACAAGATGGCTGCCATATGTCATCTCAGGACAGTCAGTTCATCACTTAATTTTTCTTTTTGCGTTTCAGGATTTTTGAGGCTTAAATATTATGTTTCATTAAGTTTGGTATCGATTCAAATGGCACCTTATATAAAATTCAGCTTAGTATATATATTTTCTATATAACATGGCCATCAGTTTTTACAGAAAAAATGCACCATTCTATTTTGGATTATATATATATATATGTATACTATCTCCATTAAATTGTGCTTTAGGAAATTGTAAAGGGAGTAGTATTTATGTAATGATAAATACAATTTGACTCCAGATTACTTTTAAAAATGATGTGTAGATGTAAAAAATAATATCTGGTCTGACGTGACATAATGTGGTCTGTCAAGTTATTTCTGTGAGCTCTAGCTAGCATTATTGTAGTACATGCTCTGACGTCATGTCACCGATTAACAGATGTAGTGGTTATTTTCTTTCGCCTTAAAATAGTCCATATATCGGCAACCGATACACAAGATAAAGGCGTTTTGAAATTGAATTTTTAATGTTAAGTTGACTTTCATTTGTATCTTCTTAGCAAGCATTATGGTAAAAATTGTATTTCATTATGCGTGAATGGTTATCAACGCATTGATCACATGGCTGGAACTATTTGCTTACAAAGAACCAAAATGGCGGAAGTCAAGGAGGAGACGAGCGTAAATCAGGAATATGGAAGGGTCATTTTAACCCTTGATAATGTTCTTATTCCACCAGAGAAACTGTCTCCAACTCCTTCAATGTCCGATGGACTGGACCACGAAGCAGAAACAGACTTGCGAATATTGGGATGCGAGTTAATTCAAACTGCTGGCATCCTTCTCAAACTTCCTCAGGTCAGTCGGGCTTTGTCTGAAAACTGGTTTAAATTTAAATAATAAGATTGATGTTTATCATTATTAAAAACATTCCAAGTTTTCATAATTATATTTTTGTTTTTTTTTTTTCAGGTTGCTATGGCCACGGGGCAGTTATTATTTCAACGTTTTTACTATTCTAAATCATTCATTAAACACAGTATGGAGGTGAGTAGTGTAATTTGTTCTTTTTCGAAAATTGGCCAAAATTCCAAGCCTTGGTTAAAATCTTCAAATGGCACGGTCTTTTTAGTTGAAAGTTCCAATGTAACTGGGTGGTGGTTTTCTGAAATAAAATAAAGTAACAAATGACATGCATTTAACAACTACTAATCAATTTTTGAGTATTGCTGATTTTTAAAAATCATTTCACATTCCAACAGACTACAGCTATGGCTTGTATGCACCTTGCATCAAAAATTGAAGAAGACCCACGTAGAATAAGAGATGTTGTGAATGTTTTCCACCACATCAAGCAAGTAAGGAATGGAAAGTAAGTATTATTTATCTCTCATGCTAACAGTAATTTCAAAATATGACTTTGTTTTTTGTAGAACTTTGCCTTTTTTTAATTTGTATGACATCAAATTGGAATTTTTTTACACATAAAGATGTTTCTGTGGAGGGGGTTTTTCTCTTGCGAGTAAAAATGTGAATTTGAATTGCATTTTCTCAACCAGGAATTGAATTCCTTCTGTAATAAATGCATTTTATTAACAATAACAGTTCTCTTTCAGGTTAAATAGAAATTGCAGTTTATTTCCACTTTTCTTTTCTTTTTTAGCCAACATGACATGTTTTCTTTCAGTCATTTTTCTGAGATTATGCCTTATATCAAGTACAAGTTGAACACAATTTAATTAGTTTTCTTCTCTTTCTTTCCTTACCATCTCAGTGGTCTGCAGGGATTCTGGAAACAGCTAAGTAACTCGGCGTTACAAATGGCATCACACTTCTGTGTTGGCCTACTAAGTCACGCAGGTTTGTAGACCTCACCTCAGGTCCGGGGGCAAGGTACATTGTTTAGTATACAAATCTGTATGCATGCATCAGTATGATTGTCCAGGTTTACTTTTCCATGCTATATTATTATGGATAGTCCATGTTTTTAAATCAATTATTCCGTACTGTGTGGCTTATGCCATACAGACTATTGGGTTATCTGTATCGTATAACTCATGTCTTGAAACTTCTTCTGGTTTCATATAATATGGCTCACTTGATTTATGAAGCAAATGGAAAAGATTTTCCATTTTACTATTTCTTAAAGGCAGAACAAGGCATTTCAGAAATCCAAAAATGTTTCTTGGTGAATAAATCCTTGTACTCGGATATCTTGTAAATTGATTTGCTTAGACTTCCTGCAACTAAAATGTACTGAATTCCCAAGTTAAACAGTTGTAGAGTGTGCCATCCATTTTATGTATTATTTTAATGGAATGAATAATTATTCCATGGCACATTTGAGACTTGTTCCTATTTTACCTTTGTTGCGAATGATGTTATAAAGTATTTTTTTATTATTATTATTATTTTATTTTTTATTTTTTTGTTGGGGAGGGGCTTTTGTTACACTATTAATTAGTCAATGAAACATTTCAGAGGAGATGTGAATATTTATTTTCTTTGGTAAAGATGCATATGTATATAGTTGACTAATTTTAAGCATACAAAAACTATTATGACACAATATTACAAAAAACCTTTTTATAAAAAGTTTTTGGTTTCTTCATCTTTGGATTTCAGACATTTTTTGTCTTTTTCTGATTTTTTTTTCACTTTGCTCTTTCATACTAGACATTAACTTTTGAGACTTAGGTGTTGATTTGTTACAAAACATATCTTTTGGTGCTAGATATATGTACTTCACTATAGAAGAAGTATAAAGCGTTTCAAGTTGTTTTTTTTTACCAAAGTGAAATACCCCATTGTTGCTATTGACCCAGTATGTCTGAGTCATTTATGTTACGTTAATATTTTGATATCTTCTCTAATTTTTTTTTGTGGTCCGTAAAAACAACCAGGTGTTTATTAAGTATCCTGCATAAAAACTATCTGTTAATAGTTCAGCTCTTGAACATATATTTGTATAATAGAAGTTGCTATGGTATAATGCCAGTTCATGAGTTATTAAGAAGGGGGATTTTTCGCTTTTGAAACTGTCAGTAATAGTCTGCCAACACTTGCATTAAAACATGAATAGATTATTCAGCTGTCACTTTGTTCCCCCCCCCCCTTCCATTCTTACCAACTTGTCATCCTATTTCATTCTTCTATACTCAGTTGATGCTCCAAGCTGGCAGTCTTCTTTGGTAAATTTAAGGGGAAATTATTAGGTCTAAAGAGGGTATCTGTCAATAATATTCTAAATCTAAATATTTTAAATCTAAATGTGCTTTTGCTGATGTTATTAATAAGACGACAATTGATTGTACAACACCTATGCAACCATACTGATGCAAGTTCTTGTTGTGACCACCGAGTCCAATGCATGACAATGTACCTGAATCCCAACCCCATGGTGACCCCACTAGAGATGGTAAAATTAGGTTTAGGCAAGGAAAAAAAAATTGCGGAAAATTGTTATTCAAAGAGGTCTTGTTTATTATTATTATTCCTCTCTTAGTCAGATGACATTTTTCAAAAGAAGAAAAACGATGTTTTTACTTACCAGCATTCAGATCCAATTTGTGATTTAATGGATGAACCTTAGCCTATGGTGGAGAGCCAGTATATTACTTGTGTGACTGACCGTTTTAATTTCCAGAGGCAGTAAACTAAACGGACCATGGCACCAACAACTATTCAGGAACCACCAGCTGTTTTTATAACCAATGGATCTACTGGGGGCGTATTTTGTTTGAACATGTTCTCAGTTTGGAAACCCTTGTTTTTCTGTCTATTTCAGGATAATCAAGCCTTTGATCATAGACGAAGGTTACGTCAGTATAAAGAATCAAGTGATCAAGGCAGAGAGAAGGGTCCTGAAGGAGCTGGGCTTCTGCGTTCACGTCAAACATCCACATAAGGTACGCTGATGTCCTAAAATGCCTGTGGGTTATTCTTACAATGGCTCCTGTAATAATATGTGGATTTTCCTGTTGCTTTGTCGGCTCTTAATGGCACGTAAAACATTATGCCTTTGGCAAAGAGTCTTTCATTTATTGAGGATATAGAAATTCTTTGAACATTCACAGAATGGTCTAAAATTTTAATGTCATAGATTTAAAGCTATTTGGCAATAATAATATGAATAATGATGATAAATAAAATAATAATGAAAAGGATGTTTCCACCATTGTTCATGGACAATTTGTAAAACTAATCTTCATGGCATTTCCCTGAATTTGACGTTGTAGTAGTATTTGTATCCTGTAAATCATTGCTGCATCTCTCTTGAGAATCACCTGATAAATTGAAGCAGAAAGACTCTGTGAAGGACATGGACTTTTTTATTAGTCTTCTAAATAGATAAATGCTTGGGTGATCAATATATTTTTCCAACGCCTCGTGATGGCATATGCTTCAAGATTGAGAGCAGAGATCTAAAACTTTGAGGGCTGAAGACTGGTCTTACCTACCACCACTACAACAAGGTAAGTGAGGGCAAGGGACAAAGGAGTCGAGCTGTACCCTAGATAACATTGCTGTTTTCTATTTTCTATCCTCAGATCATCGTGATGTATCTACGAGTGTTGAAGAGCGAGCGTCACCAGCGCCTTGTACAGACAGCATGGTAAGTTCCGGGTTTCTTTAACACTCTACGAAGTTTGTTTGTAGTCCATTAGCATTGTTGAACTGGGGTTTTAAGGTTAACTGTATTATGATGTGTACTGAAAGTAAAAGTAGTAAAAGTATTGAAACAAGAATCATTGTAAGAAAGTCTCAGGCTAGCATATTTGTCTTTGTTTCTTGTCTTTATCCTAAATTTTTTTTACTGTATGGATTGCAAATTGGAAAATTCAAGAAATGTCCTTTGTTTTCCTTGGTTGAAGAAAAGACCTTGACTTTTGATGAGACTGTATGTGCTAGCGTGAGACTTGTCAGAAATTAAGAGGAAAAAATGTTCATGCAATATATAGATGTTGAAACTGATGTCGATTCTCAGATGTTGGCGACTTCATATCAGTCTTCTTGTTATGTATGATTGATTAGGTCATTGAGTAAACAAACTTATTGTTAAAAGAATTACATTGTAGGACATGATTATTGATTCTTTAAGATGATTTTCTATAAGCTGAAATGTATGTTTTTGTGTATTGTTGTGAAAAACAAATGCAGAATGTATTAAATGTATGGAGAACAGTATATTTTCACTTGTAGTCATTTAAGTGGTGTCTGCTGTCAATGAAAAAAATTGTTATTAATGTCAGTAAAAGAATACTATATTTTTTAGTTTGTGCACAAGATTTTTAAGTTTTAAAGCTTTGGATAAATTCATCGAAAAAGGAGTTTGACAAAAACCTCAGAGATTAAGTAAAGAATAGTTGAGGTCTCTCCAAAGTGATTGTAGAAATTTTGAAATTTTGTGCACAGCCCCAGTGCAACAATGTATGCAGTCACTACAAGCATTCTTCATAAATTGTTCATTATTAATCCACAGAGACCTGTATTAATACTTTACTTTTTCCTTTTGCCTACCCAGCTTAGGTGGGTAGAAGTGAGACACATGAGTTGATCAGAGAACAACCAGATGTCCTTGACCTCTCCCAAGCTGTGATTGGTCGGGATGTGTAAAAGGTCAAAGGTCATGTACAACAGCCTGTGACTGAGCCGGTGTAACCTATTCTTAACATCATAATGGTCGCCACATATCTGGATGCAAGATGGCAGAGAAGACGCAACGCTTGCCGTAGGGAGCATGGTACATGCTTCCTCTCATAAGGGGGGCACATGCTACAATGGTGTGAGCAGCATGCGTTCTCTTGATGATCAAAGTTATTTATATGTTTTTACCTCTGATAAAATGCAGTTATATATATGCATTTGTGTATCTTTTCATTTTCATTTTCTGGCAGTTGTGACTGCTCTCTAAGTAACTGTTACTTAACTCAGATGACCGACTTTCTTTCACAAGGTACAAGTATATGTTGGTCTTAGAGATGTGTATCTATGTATTTGCAAAAGAAAGAAGGCAGTGAGTAACTTTGTTAAAGAAAATTTTGCTGTAAGGAGAAAATTGAACTTACAAGGTGTACAGGCGAATGTTGCAGGTTGCAGGCGTAGGACTTGATATCATTCATGGCTAAAAGGATGTGGGATAGCCTACTAACTCTCTCCAAGCAGATCAGGGCCAGCCAGATTGGAAAGACTTAACCAACCAGGCATTGTATAGACCAGAACTCTATAGTTCCAGAATCATGGAAGGATCTCCAAAACGTGGAGGGAGAAAAAGTGTCCCAAAAAGAACAATTGATGAGATGTGTGTTTTAAATGTTGCTCCCATTCAGCACCTTATATCCAGGATGTGTATTCTCTTGAAAAGGTTTGGGTTGATCAATGCTCTGTGTTTCCACCACCTTAAGTTGTCTGTATAGAAATGTTGATACATGCGAAGGTGAATGTGATATCATGTTTCCCCTCAACCCATGCTGAGTTCTCACTCTACCCACCTAAGCTGCAGGTCAGGAAAAGGAAAGGTAAAACTTAGTGTAAATATTCCTTGCTCACCAATGGTGAATAGGCGTATATAACAAAAAAAAATATCTTACATAATGGTCCAATGAAAAGGGGAGTTGAAAATCTTGCATAATCATTCATTGTAAAAGGAAGTTGAAAACTTAAAAGGATACTGTATTCTCTTGAGATGCGACTTTGGAAATTTCAGACAATATCATGTGTGCATCATAAGCTCTGACAAACATTCAGTGTTTTAGCACCAGCTTTGACAATCGATCTCTGTGGCATTTGTATGCCTCATTGTGCATGCTGTTAAAATATTTTGTAGGAACTACATGAATGACAGTTTCCGTACGGATGTGTTTGTGAGGTACTACCCAGAGACCATAGCCTGTGCCTGCATCTATCTGGCTGCCCGGCAACTCAGGGTAAGAAACACTTAACTGGCTTTTGCTTACTTCTAAAGTAAGCTATTGCTTAAGCTACATATATTTATTATTTTTTATTGCCCAACCTGGAGGTTGAGACTTACTCTCACACAAAAAAATGAATCGCTAAACATCCTGGCTTACATTTTCAAACTTTTATAAGAAGGTTACATTTTCAGACTTTTATTACAAGGATATCTCTAAAAACTTCTGTTTCTTAAAAGTTAAGATTAAAAAAATTATTAAAAAAGAAAAAGTTAAGAAGGTAAAGCATATTACAAAGAAAACTTACCCCGTCCTCCATATTTCTTTCAGATTCCTATGCCTAGCAGTCCGCGCCCCTGGTTTGAACTGTTTGGTGTGGAAGAAGAAGACATCCGCGCCATCTGTATGACCTTGCTCAAGTTGTATGCCAGACCTAAGGTGAGAAGCTTGTTTAGAATACTGGAGTTGTATAATGATAGAAAACCCATAAATTTATTTGCTTTTTTTTTGGAAAAAAGGAAAGTTATTTCTTTTGTAACATAGTATTTTTGTGGTGGATTAGAAAATTTGTTTCTAGTAAGTGATTGCGGATGGTATGTACAAATGTTTTATATTAACTTCTTTTTGAAAGACATAAAATTAGAAAATGAGCAAGAATCAAATGTAAATGATTTAATTTCCAGCCTAATGCAGAGAAGCTGGATGCTCTAGTCAAACAGTGCCACCAGATCATCAATGATAAGAAGAAGACGTTAAAGGACCTAGGAATCTCCGCGGGAAATACTCCAAACTCCACTTCAAGGCCTTGTAAGTTCTTTTTTTACAAAAGAAAAAAAAATGCATGTGGATAATTTTTCTTGAAGATCGCTTTTAGTTTGTGACAGTTGTAGACCAGTTTCTCAATGCTTGACGTAGTGAAATTTCTCAATGATGCACACCTTGGAATACTAAGAGAAAGATTATTTTCGTATAAATCCACAGAACACTTTTGCTTGATGATTGATTTGTACTGCTTCTCTGTCGACTTGTTAAGATCTGAAACTGGGGCAGAAGTGATGGCATAATTATTGAGTAACTAGCTTTGTAAAGAATAAACCTTTGAAAAATAAGTCACTTTCTCTTTCCTCTCTGCAGCATCCCCGAAGAATGTCAGCCCTTCTCCCCACACCCTAGTCGCCAAGGTGAAGCAGGAAGAGGACAGGTCGGACAGGAGTGGAAGCCTCAAGGACTACAACCATGTAGATCGCAAGAAGAAAAGAGGTCACACGCGTAGCAGGAGTAGGAGCTCTTCTGTGCCAAGAAGTTACAAAAACAGGTGGGTTTTGCAAGGCGCTGGCCTTATAATCTGTAGACTTGTTTGACACAGTTGTAGAATCTGGCGAATACTATTACGTGAAGATAGCTGACTGTATATAAAATCTGCTTTGTGATTTTGGTCTCAGGGCCTTTTGTTAAGGATAAGGGGACATTAAATGCAAGTGACATAACATAATTGGTTTGTGGTCAGTTTTGTAAGGAATATCTGGATAATGCTATTTGTATTTTAAATAAGTATTAACCTTACCCTTTCTTTTGTTCAGCCTCCTGGTATTATCTTTTGTATTTCAGAAATACCTCAAGCAGAAGTCACAGCAAAAGTCCATCACCTAAGAAGAAACGACATTCTCCCCCTAGAAAATATAAGAAGGACAAAGCTTACGACCACTACGATCCCAAAGACAAGCATCGCAATGTGCACAAGCGTCGAAGGAGCAGGTCTCTCTCGCCTCGAGCAAGGAGCCGTAGTCGCTCTTACAGCCGCTCTCCCGATCGCAAACACTCCAAGAAGAACTTGAAGGAGAAAGAAAGATACAGGTCAAGGTCGAGGTCAAAGGATCGCCATAGGTCCAAGAAACACGGAGGCAGCGCCAATGGGCATCACAAGTCCAGTGAAAAGTATAAAGCCTATGATAAGCATAGATATGATGATAGGTATAGAAGATGATGAGTCCTGATTTAAGTTCTGTTGTGAAGTATGTACTTGTAAGATGACTCTGTTCTGTTGCCTTTACATTGATTGGTACCTTTGGTGGTGGCGTTTTGTCTTTTTTTGGCAAATTCGGATTCCTTTTTTCTCACACTTTGGCAGTCTAGTGACAGCTAGGGAGAAGCATAAATTTATTAGCGAAAAGATAAAATCCAGAAGTTAAAGTAAAAAAAAAAAGGCTAAAAAAATATTATGTAAACTTAAAGAATATGAAAGAAAAACTTACTGACTTGCACTTTCCAATGAATAGGTTAACATGTAAGATGTAGGAGAGGATGCGTCTCAGGGATCCTTTGGTTGTATAGCTTGAAATGTTTGAAGAGTAAGTCAACTGATTAATGATACACGTTCACTGTATTCTGTTTTTGAAATGTTTGGGGTATAGTTACCAGAACATATGTAAATAAAGCATATGACAGCCCATATGTATGTCGTGTAGCACTAAGCTAAGGTAGACTTGAAAATTTTTGTGAAAAACATGGATTAAAATTTTTTCTCCTCAAGTTCAATCATGGGATGCGACAGTTTGTAGAAAAAAGGAGTTTGTTGTTGTTGTTGCATATATTTTTATTTATCTTGAGTCTACTCGAAACTGAGAGGTTAGGAAGCAACATTTCCTCCCACAACATGTAAGAATTTCAAAGTACTGGAAATGTTGTTCATATCTGTTGAACCATATATATCAGGCAGTTATAGAGGCTTGTAGAAATGTGCATGTCCAACTGAATTTAGAGCTTATTTTTATAGGCTTGTCTATTTAGGAGTCTGCTTAATCCTCTTGGCATTAGATGTACTGTGCCTTACTTGGCCACATTTGCTTCACTGTGTAGTTATACATTTAATTGATGTTTTGTAATTTTCTTTCTGCAAATTGTGAAAAATGAAATAATCCCCCTTGTATATATGTAAAATAGTGAAAATATTTATTTTTATTGTAATACTTCTTAGATATAGGGGCTGCAAAATTGCAGTCTCCCAATTTTCAGGTTTGGAAGGGTATTCACACAAGTTGTTGACAAGACTGGACGATAAACAAAGTGCCATCGTGCAATTTTTTTCCTCTCAAATATTACAGACAATAAGTTTGAGCCTTATTGTTGCTACTCATTACAATAAAGCCAGTATTTTAATAAAAAAAAGTCTAAATGTTTTTGTTCAATCTGCATTCTTTATTTATAGAAAATATACTTTGAACAAGTAAATGTTCATTTTATAATAGTTTGCAGTAATGAAATGAACAGTGCAGTCAACTTCTGAGTCCTACTGCCAAGTGAAAAAATAATAACTTGATGGGATCTCTTTCAACGTGTTGCATCACCCAAGAGCTGCCAAAATCAGAAGTTGAGCAGAATACCTAAAATTGCATGTTCTTCAGCATATTTTATTTGCAGATCTAAAATAAGCATTGCAAATTGTCCTCAAATTAAAAATAGTGAATACTGAATAGACCTTATGGGTAAAAGTAGTTATAAAACGTCACACTGTTCTCAATAAACCTTTGGCTCTATAGTTCAGTGTTGGCATTTCAAAAATGAATTTGACAAAACCAAATAATTCACCTAATGTCATATGAACTTTCTCAATTGTCAGAATTTTTTTTTCAATGGTAGGAAATTTTCAGATTTGTGCAAACGGCAACCCAGGAAAATCTCCAAATGACGTGACGGTCCAGATTGCAACATAAGTTCTGTCATAAGACTGCAGTGAAACTCAAGATTTCTCTGGCAGCTCTTCAAAGAAAGGCAATCTGTTTATCTTCTAAAACTACATCCTGTAAACTTGCTGCTTAAATAACTGCCTGTTTTCTTTTAAAACTTTAAAATCTGTCATAACACATCCACTAGGAGGTGATCTTTTCTATTTCATCCATATCTTCAGCATCCAGATGATAGATCTTCTTGCCTGAAAAACATCAAAAAAATCTGTAACTTGCTGATTTAACTATTATGACACTGTGTGAAACCATTTATAAGTACAGTTTCTTTGACATAAAGACAGTTTCACAATTACCAACATTGGTTGTCTTTTGAATATAACTTTAGATTCTATTATTTCTCAAGTTAGCAAACAACCTATTAAAAGAATTTTTTCAATTTAAATTCTACATTTTATTAACAGGATGCTAAAAATTTAATTTCATAATGAGTACAAATGTGACAATAAATAGCTACTATTACTATCAACTGGTATCAAGATAGTTACAATCTTTAACCAAAAAAACTTACCAAAATGAGCTTCAATCTTCTTCAAGTTATGCAAGTTTCTGTCGCTGTCTATCATATTAATAGCAAGGCCAGACTTTCCAAACCTGCCTGTCCGCCCAATCCTGTGGAGGTAAGTTTCACAATCGGGGTTGCCTTTTTGATCTATAGGGAGGTCAAAGTTCACCACCACGGTGACCTGCTCTATATCTATACCTGAAAGAGATGACAAAGACTTGCTGCTAACAAATTGTTAATTCAATAATCCAGAAAAAAATTAAATGATAGGTTTAAAAATTTGGTCTGAAAATGGCGAATACATCTTAAAGCCCATACAGATATGGACATATTCAAATTGGAAATCAGACCAGAATGGGTTCTCTTATGGGCAGATCACCTTGAAAAGGGACTCTACAGAGCCAGTGGCATATTAAAGATTAAAATCACCCCTGGTTAATCAATAAATTTCCATTGTCTGATGATACAAGCCAGTGTAACAGGAAGTGAAGTCTGGGCTCCCATATGATAAGTATAGGTTAGGGTTAGTCGGAGTATTGGGCTCAGTATATGAGATGAATGTCACCAAAGTAAAGGGAGTACAAAGTAAAGGGAGATGGACTACGGTTCCTAGCAGACTTCCATTTCTGTTACACCAGCTCTGATTTCTGGTCCAAATGTTGACCTAGTCTGCCCAGACCTTCCATACACACCTCTGGCAGACACATTGGTGGTTATCAGGACCTTCTCTTTTCCCTCCCGGAACCTGTTGATGACACTGGACCTCTGTTCTACTGTCAGCTCTCCGCTGAGAAGTGCCACGGCATGACCCTCTTTGCTCATCTGCTCAGATAGCCACGACGCAGTGCGACGAGTCTGGAAAAGGAAGAAGAAATCTTTGAGTTCATCTTTTAAGACAGACAGCCAAGATGCAGTGCGACGGGTCTGGAAAGAAAAAAGACAGATAAGCAAGACCCAGTGTAATGGGTCTGAAAAAGGAAAGAAAGCGTTGAGGTCATCTTTTAGGACAGATGGCCAAGATGCAGTGGAAGGGTCTGGAAAAGTGGTACAATTTTTTCCCAATTGCATTCAGCAAGAGTCCCCATGGAGTGAGTGCGTGTCAGCTAGGTCAGTATAACGAATGGTCCCAAAGTCAAGTATTTAAACCTAAATATCGCACTTACATGACAAAATATCATGCTCTGACCGATGGAAATGGTGCCATATATATTGGACAGTGCCTGGAATTTCTCCTGCTGATCTCTGCACATGATGTAGAATTGCTTGATGTTGTCGAGACTCTCCTCCTCCCTGCGTAGACGTATTACGACTGCATCTCGTACCACTGCCTGCGCAAATCTCATGACAGGTTCGTCATAAGTGGCAGAGAATAGGAGCATCTGGCAGTCCTTTCTTAGGCCTCTAGAAATATTGAAAACACATTTTATTGCAGCTTTATGACACTTAGATAACTTATAAGAATACCCCTTGAATAAAAAATGGATGAATCCAGACCTCTAGAAATGATTAAAAAAGTTAACTAAATATTAACAATTACTTAACTTTATACAAAAGATAACCTTTGAAACTAAAGAAGAACCATCTTGCAGTCTTTTCTAAGAGCTCTAAAGATAACAAAAAAGAAATAATTTGACATTGAAGAAACTTATACTCAGAATAGTCCTGAAAGTAGCAATAAACTAACTCAGTTTCTGTAAGCTAAACTTTTTTCAAAACATCCCAGGCCAATTCCAATTCCATGCCATTACATCAAGTACATACAGCTAATATTGCACTCATGCAATCTACTGACACAGCATCTACGGAGTTGAGCCAACGCAACTTTAGTGAAAACACACCCTAGGTCACACACACAAATATACCTGTGTATACGGACAGACTGGTCTTGGTGACCTTGAGTGGCGATCATGACGTCTGCCTCGTCCAGCACAAACACCTCGATTTTCTTGAGATCAAATGCCTTGAACTTCAACCCCCAGTCCATCACTGTGCCAGGCGTGCCAATGATGATGTGATCTGTTAGCCTCTCTCCTCTGCTCACTAGAATGATAGGTTGATTGTGTTAAATTTTTACAGCATTCTGGGTTGTTATGACAAAATAAAGTTTTATTTGTACTCTCAAATATAATTTATTAATATAAATCAACAATGTCTCTAAATGCATAGTCATTTAACAAAATAAACCATGTAACAATCCTACTTAATTCCCGTTCACACGTCTTCATGGAAGCATTGGTACTAAAAGCGGTGAAGGCAATGATGGAGGAGGCGACACGTTGACACAGTTATCCGGAACACTAGCTGTCCTTCGACGGTGGAGGAGGCGGCATGTCGACATCATTCTCCTTATACACCAGGGAGGTTGAATAATTCGTCGCAAAAGTTATCATGAACGATAAAACGGTCACTGACGTGGACGCCGGCGCCGGTGTTACAAATGTCACTGATATGTCACTGTCTTTGTTATCATTTCATAAAGCTCACCATCAATGAAATGTCACTATCTTTGTAATCATTTCATAAAGGTCACCATGCTGGGTTACTCTATTTCCAGGCTATATATGTTTTTAGTCTATAAATTCCTGGAAACATTAGCTTCCCACGGTGACTCCCTTCCTTTCTCCTTCACGGCCTCCACCCTTTCTTTCTTTTCCGGTTGAACCCAACCCACACAATCTGACCTTTTCCGGTTGAGCCCAACTAACACAATCTGGGGTTGTTACAGGGTGCAGCAAAGAATGTCTATTTTTACTACTCGCTCAATGAGAGAGAAACTGCCTTGAATTCATGCTTACTGAATGATGCTGCCACACTTTGAGATTGGGGGTCATCAGAGCACAAGACAAGACAAAAAATGCAGCAGCACATACACACAAACATACATGCACACACAAAAACACACACTAAATCAGCAACAATCTACTACTAGTAATGAATGTTGACATTTTACAAGAATCCAGAAAATGCAAGCACCAAAGTGGGCAACTCTATACAGAAGGTCTGAGGAGAATATATTAAAGCACCAAAATATCCAGATTATCCGCAAAAACCTGGAAGTCTTATACCTCAACATTACCTCTCTCTCCTCGAACTGCATATCCTATCTTGACTTGCATGAACTGGGACATCTGTTGAGTAACTTCCCCTATTTGTAAGGCTAGCTCATAGGTTGGAGCAAGACACAGGCACTGTAAGGAATTGACAGTATATAAAGTATTGCTATCCTACCAACAATTTCCCCAAGTTTTATTGGCACATATGTAGAAAAGGTTTATCTCCTTGCCAAATCTTGTGTTTGCACACACAAAAAATTCTTAATTTTTAATCCCCCCCCTCCCCAATTGTGTTTTTGTGCTGAATATTCAATAGGCCTAATAGTATGATTTGTTACCAGTGTCTCATTTAAAACTGTGAAAATGATACTAGTAACTGAAAATATTGACATGTTAAAAGACACCATTTAATATGCAAATCTATTCTTTTTTCCACTGTAAAGCACTTGCATTCTTCAAAATATTGAATAAAATCTAAATTTATCAAACATAAAATCTCCTTAGTTTCTATCATTATTCAGACCTGAGGATAGTGTCTAGTGGGGTCCACTCTACTTAACATTGTGAGGACAAATGCTGCCGTTTTTCCTGTACCACTTTGAGACTGGGCTATCATATTACTGGGTCTGAAAAAGTATCAAATATTAAACTTCATATTAAACATAGGCAGTTTCACAGTACTCTTACATGAAGTGTATTCATTAACCTGGTGGTTAAAATTAGTTTCTCCTATACCACTCTGGGACTAGGTTATCATATCTTTGGGCATTGATTTATGTATATGATCTCATGGTGTTCCAGCTTTATTTATTTATTTATTTGCAATTATTATATAACGTGTGAATCAGAGGGACAGACAGTGCCCTTTGAACAGAAATGCTGTTTTAGCCATGCCAATTTCTTGAGATTAAACATGATAAATTGCTTTAAAAATCTTTCAATTGTACTTTTTTTCTGTCAGATTCTCTAATTCAGATCAAATTCAGATTCTCTAAAATATCCTAGACATCAAACCTTTGATACAGTTCTATAAAGTAAAGAGAGGATACTTACGGGTCTGCAAGTAGTGTAGGTAGAGCCGTTTCTTGAATCTTTGACGGTGCATTGAAACCCATTGCATACACACCCTTCAACAGCTCAGGTTTACTAGAATCACCAAAGGAATCATTCATTTTTTATTCCAAAACAGGAACGGGATGTCATGATTTTTGTAGAAAAAAATTCTTGTTTATTTTTTAATACTTTACTCGTTTTATTGAGATAAAAATTGCGCTTGAAAATTATAGAAAATCTGAATTATCAGTTTCTTTTTAAATGCCACAACTAAAAAGAAACTTTCCTTTACAATGGCTAGCTTGAGTAAAAATTGTACATGATATCATTTCTTTATTAAGCACATCAAGGGTCTCTTTAAATAAAATGTTACGGTCATTTCTATCCATAATGCTTACAGATTCAAAGCCTCGAAAGACTTGACAGAATACAAAGGGGAGTTGGGATCTTTCTGAAGTACTTCTAAATCTGATTTGGTTTGGACAAGTTTACTGTGTAGTTTCTTCATCAGCAGTGACTGTGTAGCGAGATCTGCTGCATCACCTGGAAATATAATGACCATTAACATTTAATTATTTTTCAATTTGAAAATCTTAATTTTCTGCCGGCTTGTTCAATGTACATACCTTGTCAAAACACTATAATTACAGTCACACAAGCATGTAGTTTTAGATACACCAGTATTATTATTGGAGCTCTACAATACCAACTCTGTCAATTTGGGATGCACTTCCAATGAGCTTCATTGTTCTAGCTGAGTGACTCCATGAGCAAATAATTACGAAAATCAATAATAAATTAACAAAATATAATTTGAAACAAAATTAATGCTTAGAGTTGGATAATACAAAGTGATTAAATATTCAAAGTACTAGACTTCTGTACTTTGAAAGATCATTTTACTGTTTTCTTTTTTCTATCTCTTTTTTATTATTTATTTATTTATTTATTTATTTTTTTTTTATAGAGCTATGCTTACCCTCCTCGCCCTCTGGGGCAGCTGAGGCAGTAGCTGAGGGGGTTGCTGAGGGGGTTGCTGAGGGGGAAGCTGCGGGGGCATCTCCCTGTCCTGTTGCAAGTTTAAGATTCTCCACCTAGGACAATTAAAGTTATGAAGCTTCTCTATTTTTTATTCATGAATACGCTTATTCATCTGTTCAGTAATGTAAATGTTAAGAAGTTAGAAATTCAATTCAAAGAGGAACTACAACTTAAGTTTGATAACTGAACTAGGATGACTGTGCAAATAAGAATATTTTAAAGAACAAAAAGGGTACGAACATGTATGTATTTAACCCTCATTCAAAATCACAGTCATTTTAAAACATCTAGTGGACAGTATTCAACAAAAAAAAAGCAGAGCGTTCGATAAAAAAAGCACCAATAACAAAAATGAAAACTCACGAGGACAAAACGCCGGTAAAATCACTCAAAATTACAACGTTATCTACTGACTTTTATTACTCTTCCTTACCTTTTCTGTTATTTGATTTTCCTGAGCATCAACAGCCTGTGCCCAGTCGTCATCTGCCATTATGTTTTATGAAAAATACAGGGATTTTATACCAATAAAAGTTTGAGAACCCCTGTGACTGTTCTTTCTCTGGAGGGATTTATATTGTCTTTTTAAGTTGAAGAGCTCGACAGCTTCAAGATAAGACGGTTTCCAAAGCGCGCATTGAGTGGTTGCTTTCACCACATTCCTAAAAGGTTTAAAACGAAAAAACTAAAAAACCGAGGAGCATTTAATTCCACTGAGACTGAAATAGGATTGTTGATGCCTTCAGATAAGTGTGAGTGGTAAAATGACATCATCTATTTTGACTTTGAATTTTGCGTCACGACGTGCGGTCAACCAAAACTGATGTTGAAATGTTATGCAGTATTAACACAGTGTCGAAACGCTGTGTTTTCTTCTTGTGCTGCTGCTTGGCCAACTTTTCCTCGACATTTGCACCCAAGACGTGTAAGGAAGATATCTCTCTCAGGATCCTCTTGTTTTCACATTGATAAAGAATCAGTGATTTGGTTAATTAATTTCTATTGAAAATTTATTGCCTGTCATTACATGTTATTGTTTATGTCTTGGCTAGTATATGTACATGTAGAATTTCTTATAAACTGTACATGGAATAAGTATCATGTTTGCATATTTGTTTAGACCTAACTTTCTTTGAATTCATTGTTCTTACAAGTTTTTCAGATATATGGATAAGCTGTTGTAATTGTTAGTTTTACTGCAGTACTCGGTACAGGGTCCGCCATATAGATAAACGTCCCAATAAAATATTCGCCCCGATAGATACGTCTCTATACATACACGTCTCAATAGATTTACGTCTCGTTAAATTTACGTTCCGATAGATCCACCAACAGATTCCTATAAACCCACGTATATTTAGATCCAGGTACCGCTAGATCCATCTATCTGACATCGTAATCGGCTAAAAGGCCCATATCAACTTGCGTTGTGAACTTTAGAACACATTTTTATGTTCTTTTTTGTTTTGTTTTGTTTAGAACACATATACATGTAAATTCAGAACACTTTTTACGTGTTCGAATGTTGCATTTTGAGAACGCTTTAAACAGTGTTCTGACGCTAGAACAGTAATTAAGCGTTGTGAAATATAGAACACACTTTTGTTCTTTTTATGTTCTTTCACTGAGTATTGTGTGAAAACGATCTAGTAGAATAATATATTGCTGACTGCGTACTGCCGTTTTAAAGAAGTGCATTTTATGTACTGAGTAGTATACCAACTATTTCGAGCAATAGTGTACCTGTAATGGATCTATCGGTATTTGGATCTAAAAATACGTGGATCTATAGGTATGCGGATTTAAAGGACGTGGGTTTATGAGGACGTCATATCTATAGGAACGCAAATATATAGGACAGCAGAAAAAAATCGGATCTATCGGTATTTAAATCTAAAAAGACGTTTTTTCCGTTTTTCCTTTATGTATCTATCGGTAACGGGAGTATAGGGACGTGTAATATTTTGGGACTAAATTTTATTTGTACGTACCCCTCGGTACATGTACATGTGTATCTATGATATGACCTTCATCAATCTTTTCTAATTTTTATGTAAAATTAAACAGATCGATATCATATAACACTGTAAAGAGATTGTATTATGTAGTACAAGAGCTAGTGTGTAATTTCTGTGAGAATTAAGTCTAGTGGTGCAATTTTCTCGGGACATGGTCGCAGACATGCTCCCATGTTCAAAATGGATATGTGCATCATGCAGCTACAGGTACATGTATATCATACCCAGTAATGTATATGTCATGGCATGTAGTACTAGTACATCATGTGTATTAATATTTCAATTATTTGGTTGATTGTTAATTGATATTAAAAAAAAAATTACTTTTCAGTTTATTATGGCAGCTCTCATAGAAGAGGACCTGAAACATTGCCTAGAAGGCGTAACAGTCTCCAGGTAAAAATAGTTGAAATAAGAGACAGGAGAAGAGACTTAATATTGTTAAGAAAAAATTACATATTATTTTCCAATTTTGGTGAATTTAACAATAAGTCTATAACTGTATCATGAAAAAAATTTTTGAGGGCTGAAATACGGATGATGCTGAGCATTTGTATGGCCCAGATTGTCTTAATACTGTACATTTTCAGCTTTCAGAAAGATGATATTGATATTAACTAAAATATTTTAATATATTAATTAATTCATTCATTCATTCATTCATTCATTCATCTTTCTCTCTCTCTCTCTCTCTCTCTCTCTCTCTCTCTCTCTCTCTCTCTCTCTCTCTCTCTCTCTCTCTCTCTCTCTCTTTTATTCACTTATTTTCATTTTTCTCTTTCAGGTTGATGGGTCCCAATGAAGCCAATTTTGCTGGGAATGTTCATGGTGGGAATATCCTAAAGCTAATGGAGGAGGCAGGGTGCATCCTAGCCACTAGATACTATAATGTGGCTGGCAAAAAGGTACACCAGTACAGTCTGTGCCATAAAATTTATAGCTTAATTTGTACATTTGGATCACCAGTTTTCTCAAATCTAGTGATCCAAATAAGGATTCACTGGTACGAATAAAATATTCAGTTAGACTGGAATTTTTTCACTCACTGCCAAAGTCAGTTTACTTGGAGTGTGCATGTGTACAAATGTGTTGCATCACATTTACAAGTACAACAAGAAAATAGCAATGGAAGACGAATTAGGGATTAAAGAATATGCAATGCTTCACATATATTTTTTTTCAGAACAAAATTGTTTGCTTATTATTATATACTTTTTGCTCGATGTTTTCAGAACCTCCCCAACTATCAGCCAGGTATGGCAGCGCTGGTCAGGGTTGAACGCACTGACTTTTTACAACCCATGTATATAGGTGAGGTGGCCGAACTCCACACAGAGCTCACCTTCACCTCTGCTCACTCCATAGAAGTCTTAATCACCGTATTTGCTGAGGACTGTATCAAGGGTAAGTAGTTGTTTATGTGAACCTTGACCTGGTAACTGGTACCATGGGAACAATATGGTATTATGCCTGGTAACTGGTGTCATGACAACTGTTGTCATGACAACTTTGGGAGAATAATGTCTGGCAGCTGGTCTTTTTGAGATATTAGTCTATGACATTGCCACTCTAGAAATATTTTGATAATGGTAATCTGTAATGAAGAAATATGAATATATGTTTCAGTTTATTTTTTAGATCTAAATGCTTTACCAGATTGGAATAGCATTTCATGTGATCTGATTATATTTAAGTGTCATTTAAGTGTCTTATTCATAAATGTGTTTTTACCTTTATTTATTTATTTATTTATTTATTTATTTATTTATTTATTTATTTATTTATTTATTTATTTTATATTCTGCAGGACAAAAACGTCTCACAAACAGAGCTAGACTATGGTACGTCTCCATGAGCTCTGATGAGAAGGTGCTGCCCATTCCTCCACTACCTAACACCAAGAAAATAGAACAGGGAAAAATTAGATATGAGAAACAGAAGAAGGAGCGTGCTGCCCATAGACATACCAGGATTGAGAGAGTTCCGTCTATTTTGCAAGAAGGTAAAAATAAGAAAACCAGGTGTAGAATAATTTTCAACCAAACTTTTTTGAGTTCTAGAATATATAGGCCTGTATAGCCACCAATTTCAAAAGGAGGGTTCTTTTTCTGAAAAAGTGGACCTTTAACCATGAAACGTTTGCGTACCTAGATTAAATTTTACCCAGAGGGGACCTTTTCCCGACAAAATGGGGGATTTTTTCTAACCCACCACAACCCCCCTGGCTATGGGCCTGATATTATTTCACTGGATTTGATAACATCATGCAGTATTTTAGTGTCTTAGATGCAGTGTGCAGACAGGTTCCCACCATTATTCTATTTATTCCAGGGAACTGTCATGTTAAATGTATTATATCTCTCTCTTTTGGACCTTTAACTTAGTATTTGAGTTCCCTACATTAAAAAATCACATTTTGAAATGACTTGGTATTAAACAAAGAAAAAAAAAAGATTCATTTCTGCTCTCTTTCAGAACTGGATCCTCAAACTGTGGGCTACTCCCAAACTACACTACGCCATCTAGTGGGAGTGGTAGATACTAACAGCGCGGGTTATGTAATGGGAGGAGTCATCATGAAGTTAATGGACGAGTGTGCCGGACTTGTGGCCGTCAAACACTGCAAAACTAACGTGGTGACAGCCAGCATGGATGCGACAAACTTTCACCAGAAAGTTAAAAAGGGTGAAATATCATTTTAAAATGATTCATTATTCCACATATTTATTTCTATTTCCATTCTTTTTAAGTATGTTTTTTCTTGTTTTTAAATTAGATAGTTTGGTGATGGCAATTGTGTCTGTTGTCTTTGCCACCCACAAGAAAGGGATAAATCTTCTAATGACCTTGGAATAATACTCTTTTTAATATCAGCGGGTAATGTCTGGATCTATGACATAACTGCTGTCTTGAGTTCCAAAAATCAAGGTTAATCTTAATTTAATTTCACTGCCATTTATGTAAATTGGCATGAGGAAAATTGAATTTCTCCACGTTTTGCATTTCTTTTTTCCACTGAGAAATTCTGGAAGTCAACCCTCACACACACCTTATTAATACAAACATAACTCTTACTATTGCTTTGCCACAGTGACTCAGCATAGTACAAAAAAACTTAACTCTATCATATTAATATTTTAATTTATTATATTCTTGTAAACCAGGTAGCTTGGTTACCTTGACGGGGTTCATCACCTTCACCAGTCCCAAGTCAATAGAGATAGAAGTTGTAGTCGATGCAGAGTTTCTAAGATCTGGGTCAGCTCAAAAAGAGAGGGCAGTCAGTTCTTTCTTTACGTTTGTCTCTCTGGACTCAAATCACAGACCAATGCCTGTGCCACAGATTATGGTAGGTTATGCTGGAGGGAAAGTTGAAAGGGGAGAGGTTTTTCAGTTTTTACATGTGCCAGGCCTGTAGTCAGCAAATTCGAAGGGGGGGGGGGGGGGGGTAGGTAGGCTTTTTCTGAAAAAGTGGACTCAGGCCAATAGATGTCGCTACTGGCAACAGTTATACCTGAAATATTGTGGAGCTAATTTTGGAAACTCATGAAATTTAAATAATACCTCAGCAAGGTAGAGGCTTTTTCTTGGTGTGAGCTATATTTATTGATTAGTGATGACTATGATAGTGGACTTGGTCCTGAAATAATTCTTTTTCAGTGGTAGTTAATTCTTTGTAGTATCAGTAAATAATGGCATCAGTTTAGATGTTCTTATTTTGACTGTTTTCAAATTTCAATTCTTCACCAGCCTGTGACAGAAGAGGAGCTAGAACGACACAAAGCTGCAGAAGAGCGATACCTGGAAAGAAAACGTCAACGCGAACAAGAGAGCACATCTTAAACAACATGCCAGAGATGGGACTAAGTCAGCCATTTCAGGGCTTTCCCCTTTTTATGTGGGAAAGAAGGCGTGGAGTAGTTTCTTTGTTTTGTATAATTGTGAAAATGCAATAATTTTATTTGGTGGGGAGGGGTATTCTCTCTTTCCATCTCTGCAATAGAGAAGGAGAGTACCTGCCAAAATTGATCTAAAAGTTGGAACAAATTTTAAGTCACAGATTGGTGTTCAGATACTTTGTTGTTGATTAAATGCACAATCATTCAATTTTATTGAATGAGCCTACTGTTAGGAATGATGTGTTATATTGCTAGAAATGAGTGATTTTAATGAATTACATTGCATTCCATTTTTGTTTTGTCAGAAGAATCTGAGTAATTGTGGCAGTATTTCTGCATTTACATGATCTTTCACTTTAACTTTTTAGCAGTTTTGTGTTTGAGGGGAAACTTTGTCTTAAACATTTCTATTTGAAATAGACTGTTATCGTGTTATTATATCCTTATGTGCTTTTTGTGTGAGGAATTAATGAGTGGAATCAAGCAGAAAAAATTAGGAAATCAAAGCTTTCATTAAAACTTATTTATTTTAGATATTTTAAATATTGTGAACAAATTAGATTATTGTTGATCAGTGCCACGGTAAAGTTTTTAAAAACCCTTACCTAAGTTATTTTTCCCTTTTAAGATAATTTGTATACTAATGTCAGTTTAAGGTCAACATTTGATAGTCCTGCACACAAATAAAGATTAATTTAAGAGAAATGAATTATTGCGTTGAAATATCTAAAATGTGTAATGAAATATGCACAATTTCTGAAAGTAAAGCTGCATATGTCACAACTAGCACAATAAATTGCTACTGATACTTGGTAAAACGTAGAGCACTAGCAGTACCTTTGCCTGTCAAGCCACACATAAAAATACCATAAAGATGGAGTATTAAGGTTACAAAAGGTCGACATTACCCTTCTCAATCTACTTCAGCGTGAGGAGTTTCAATGAAACCAAAGTAATCAGCACTTTGAAAGATCCAAAACTATCAGTTGGTAACCTTTCAAGGAAAGCAATATTTCTTTCAGTCCATGGGCCTATACCCTCCCCCCCTTACACACACACACACACACACACACACACACACACACACACACACACACACACACACATATGGGACCTAATTTCTGTTCCTTTTCATCTTTGGGGATCATAGTGATCAGAAAGCCATAGTTATATATTTTTATTAAAAAATTAATAATAATTATTTTTATTAAAAAAATTAATAATAATTGAAACTACCATACTGGATTTAGTTTAAAACTACAAGTACATTGTACGTCGTTTTAGTTATAATAGGTATAGTAGTATAGAGGGTACATCAGGGATAATTTTACCCCATGTATTTTTATATGCATATATTTTTGCCTGTGTCTGAGTAAAACAAAAACCACATCAATGTAGATAAACCATACAAAGTTTGATAAGAATTAGCCTAATATTATTTTTACAAGGTATTTAAATTCATGATCCCTGCTGAACCTCCAGCTCTATTGTGAAGCATGAATAAGCATAAAAAATGTGGAAGTACCTTTGAGCCAAACACAATAATATAACAAATAAAAATGGTAAATTATTTTATTGCACAAACTTTTTTTTTAGTTCACACAATCACAAATTTACACTCAAAAGGGGATGTTTAGATTATTTAAAAGGAAGTTATTATAAATTTAGGCTTCTGCTTTTGTAAAGAGAGTTAAGAGTACAATTTTTTGTGTAGTAACCCTTGTAATTTTGAGTTTTACATGTGATTGAAAAGCATATTGGAAAAAGCTTTTAGATATTTTATCATTATGCGATGTTTCAAAAGCACATATTTCTATAAATAAGAAATGTATCACTGAAAATACGGGCACAAATAGCGTTCCTGTCGATTATTAACTAGAGTATAGTACCTGCACCTACTAGTATGTCTAAAAAGATATGTCTGGGATAATGATAATAAAAAACATTTTATTCTTAGAGCAAAAAAATGGGAAATTTAGAATACACTTTAAGCATTAAATCAATTTTATTAATTATCACACTCGTATAAATCGTCCGTCATGACTGCAACCTTCAGTATTATAAGAACGGATATTACGCAATATAAAAAAAAATGGGAATGAATAATTTATTGATGCCGTCAGACCTGGAGCTATAGCAACAGTACGCATGCGTTGGTGAATGACAACATGGCGCCTCGAGAAGACTAACCTAGAAGCATATCCTGAAGAATTTTATGTAAGTAAACTTACTTTTTTGATGCAATCGAGTGTACACTCCCCTTAATAATGATCTATATGCCCATAATTTGCTCTAGATAAGAAAGTCATAAAAGGTCCATTCGTGACATCGTCATAAAACCCGCGGAATTTAGACCGGGGTCTCGTCCAGAAATTGACAAAAAAAGTAGAAAGAAAAAAGTTTACGAGGTGCAAGCATTTGACATCAAACGCGTTTGGTTGGGCTTAAACTGTGTTTTATATGATCTTTCTTGGTATTGTTGGCACTGAATTGTCCATCTGAGTTTGTTTGGCAACACATTGATTGTGAGACCTAATGAAATTGGGAGTTCAATAAGCATCAAAAGTAATTATACAATAAGTATTACTATGTGCCTTTGTACACTGTCACCGTATAGTACTAATTGTAACAAGCAGTTCTTTAAATTGCAATTTTGCACCCTGCTAACATTTCAACACCTGGATTAGCACTAGTAACGGGTTTCCACTGACACTTTGCAATAAACAACATTTTGCTACACTGTTTTTGTTTTGAATTTTGTTTTAAAAATATTTTCATGATATGCAGTGCATCATCTGTCTCACTGATCACCAAAATAATGCGAAATGACACTGAGGTTGCTTAAAAGCAAAATGAGGAGATGACGTGAACTGCCATCTTAATGTTGCTTTTAATCATTTCTGGTCATTTTGGTGTTTAGAGAGGCGGGTACATCATAACTTTTGTTTTTTGCAAATTGTTCTAAATATAAGTCAATATTATACAGGGAAAGGAGTTGAGAATCTGTGGAATTGAAGAAAAACGTATTTTCTCCAGTCTAGGATATGTGCTTTGCATTAATTACATGCCTTCCCCATCCCTCCCCCTCCCCTTACACACACACACACACACACACACATACAGATACACACACATACACCATTACATGAACTAGATGTTTTCCCCCCAAATCGGAAAAGCTGTTTAAAATGTTTAAGGAATTATTAATGTTAAGTCCACTTTTTTATGAGAAAAAAAAATCAAATTTCTCTTACTTCTCAAATCATTGATGGATCTAGCCCTGATTCTGGTATCATTGTTTTGTACCATTTCTAATTTTATTTTTTTTTTTCTTAGTTCTTTAAAAACAAAACAGATTGGTTAAGTAGTCTTTCTGACATTTCAAACGGAAATATTGCCAACAGGTTCTGTTTTTTAAGGGGTTTTATTGTTTTTTAACGCATTATTAAGGAAAAATAAAGAAGTATAATTTTGTGATTATAAAATAATAAGTGTATCTGAAAGTTTGTTAATTTTTGCACATTGAAAAGATTGAATCATTACCGTAGCTTTACAGGGCATTGACATGAAAAATTGACCTTGACATTATCAAATATGTATAATGTATCTTTAAACCCTTGAAACCTACACAAATTATTTTGATTGATTTGTAAAAAAAAAAAAAGAAAAAGAAAAAAAGAAAATAGCAGTCTTAGAGTATGGACTAGATTTTGAATGGGAGGAGGTGGGCGATGGTCTTGATATCAAATGAAGAAAATGGGAAAGGGGAGGTGGAGGGGCATTTTAGAATCATTGTGCTAGATAATAAAAGTACGTTTCATGAATGTTTTAGCAAATGAAATGCCTATAATCTGTCATCTTAAAAATGCAGCTTAACTGATATGGGAGATATAATACAAATCTTTCTGTTGACATCTTTAAGATACAGGATGCTCTGACGTGAATTGGTGTGCAAGAGGTGAAGGATAAACGGAATTAAGATGCAAGTTCCTTGATAGAATTAAGCTGATGTAACAAAATTGGGAATAAGCAGACGTTGAGCATAGGCCAGGAAGAGTAGAAAAATTCAGTTCATGTTTCCATAGAGAAAGGGTGGACAGTTCAGATAGAGAAACACCCTTTTTACCCAAAACCATGTCCGGCCAAATCATATCTAGGGGACCATTCCCACAGATATTTGGATCAATCTAACTCCCTCGGGAGTCTCACTAAATTGCTATCAAACTATCTGGCTTAAATGTCTGTCACGTCTAGTAAAGCTGTTAGGGGGTAATTATCTTTACCCTTAGCTGATTCAGTAGGCGTGACAGACATTTAAGCCTCTTGAGCTGATAGCAATTTAGCGTGAACCCCCAGGGAGTTAGGTCGATCCAGATGGATTGATCTAAGCATGGGAACCACAAACCAACAGATCCAGAGATCAAATATGGGTGACCCATTGAAAGCTTTCCACTTAATACCCCTGTTGAATATATTTATTATCTGTTAGGGGATTATGCGGCAGGCCTTTTAGTGGGTCGGCCATATGTCATAGGGATCTGTAAGTCTACGAAAAAAACTGGGAGTGATGGTCAATGTCAGTGGTCAACGCCAGTCTTGCTTTGTCCACTTTGGATATTACACACAGGGGGTCCCTACATTGATCTGGTCAGTTTATTATCGTCCATGGTGGTAGATGGCCAGTTTAGAAAGTGAGCTGCTGTACTTTTTGGTTTTATCTTGTGTGTCGTTTTTCTTTTCTGTAGTTCAGTCTGTGACTGAAATGAATAATTAAAATCTAGCGCCGTGGCAGCTTATGCAATGCCAGACAGTGGTTAAAGTTTTATTGTGCAGGCTTGCATAATCTTTTTTGCAGGCAGTTGATATGTCTTTTTTAGTATTGAATATTTATCAGTAGAGATCTCAGACTGTGTGGGTGCATGTATGCAAGACTAGAGAGAGAGAGAGAGAAAGAGAGAGAGAGAGAGAGAGAATGAGCAGGCCTGTATTGGGCAGTTATGAAAAGGGGGTTAAGTCACTTAGCCAGGGTCTGATGGAGTAAAATTTAAACTTTACATAATATGCAGTGCAGTAGCCAGTTTAATTGCAGTTAGTACTCTGAACATTATTTGGACCAGTCAGCAATTCAATCTATCTCAGCCTAGTGAGTTGGGTTCTCACAATATAATCACTTTATAAGGTGCAAATATGATGCTTCTTAATTAAAAAAAAAAAACTGACAAAACCAAGGTCTTGTTTATTACTAATATTAATGCAATAGGGAGAAAAATGTCCTGTCTTACCAAAATTTTTATTCGGCAAGTGAATGATTTCACTTGTTTTTTTGTCAAGTGAATCCCAATTCAGACCAATAGATTGTATGAACCTGGTGGCAGGAGTGGCCAGTAAACCGAAAGATTTTTCGCACAAACTACTATCATGCCGTTAATAGTAAACCTGCTATGTTCTTCCACACACGCACACACACGCTATCGAAAGGACAATGCAGTGTTGGTGTCTGGGTTAGTGATAGCAAATACTCGCCACTTAAGCCAAATGCTAAAACTAACTTAAATTGGCTAAACAAATTAGGGTTGATATGATTTGTTTTTAGTCAAATTTAAACCAGTAGGGGGAAAAAAGAGGTGAAAAAGTAGTGATTTGGCTTAGTGAAATAATTGCTAGCGGTATTTCAGAGTGCCCCTTGTTTTGGATACAGTATTGATCTCATTGATTGTCCTTATCACAAGGCCACATCTATTGATTGGACATTTTGTCAATATTGACCATCAGGGAGTGAGTAATAGTATTTAGTATTGACCATTTGAGGTGGAGGGGGAAGGGGGGGGAGGTGAAGTACTTGATATACACTGAAACTATCCGAGCATAAATATTGGTGGAGCCAATTATCAAAGTTTTTTTTTTTTCAGCATAATCATTGACATTGAACAAATTATCATGTGCTTTAACTCAATTAATTTTGTTTGTTTTTATGTAGTTGATGAAAAGGGTTGACTTATGTAATGCTAACTGGATTTTAGTTCTCAGATGAAAATTAGTAGAAAGTACTTTTTGATGAATTTGATGAACAACTTGCTGTTTTTTCATCATTATCTGTATCTTATTGAATTTTTTATCTGGTGTAGCATGCAGAGAGGAATCAGTTGTGGCAGTTTTAATAATGAAAAATACCAGTATGATATTTAGACCATGCATTTAAGAAAAAAAAAATTTTTGAGGTCAAGAAAGCAAAAACTTTTAAATTACTGTTTAACAGTGTTATGATAAAGAATTGGATGTAAATCCAGTGTAGACTTGTTGGTTGTAAGAGAAATCATCAACATTTGGCCTTAAATATCAAGCAGCTGTTTGTCCACTTCTTCATTAACAGACAGGGGACATGTTAATTAATGGGTATAAACCTCAAATTTTATACTTATTTCTTTAGACTGCTAGTAATTAATCTTACATCAAAGTACAGAGAGAAATTTTGATCTGAAACTTAATGCACAGACCATTATTTATTATTATTATTATTATTATTATTATTATTATTATTATTTTTTCAATTTTATTTTTATGAAACTGATCCCAGGCAACTTCTAACGGAGGACTTTGGTTGTATATTGAAAGCTTTTGGACCGAAAAAATGTCCTTCTTGGTCCTGTCTGAGTGGGGCTTAATTGAAGCAATAAGGTCACACATACCAGTCTAGACTGGAAGTAAGAGGTAATCAGATAGGAATGTGGAGGGAGAGAGAGATGGACAGGATTATTTCTCTAAGGTCCATTACACCACTGGAGGGGTCATGCTGATATAATTTATAATTTAACTTCTGTTTTCTTTTTACAAATTTCTGGCAAATGGATTAACATTAGTTTTTTTTTTTCAGTAAGTCAGATGTCGTATTTTACACTATTTTTTCTGTTTTATTGCATGGTTGATTAGGTTAATCCAGAAAAAGGAAACAAATGCACAGAATGTCAAGGTTTTTGTTAAAATGCAATACCTAGGCTACCTCAAAAAATTGTATCTCTTCTGAGATCACAACTCATCAATTTTTGAACTGGAACAAAAATTCTGCTCACATTTTTTTCTTTGAAAGAGAGAGTTTTTTTTTAAAAAATTAAATAAACCAAATAAATTCTTAAACCAAATTGGTTAATAAATCAGTAAAATAAAAATTTTACTGATTTATTAACCAATTTAATAAATCAGTAAAATAAAAATTTTGCAAG